CCAACCTTACTGTCGGCTCCACCCGCCAATTTAATCCAGCTCCACCTTCTGCTCAAAGCCTTTTAATGGCTGCAAGATGACCTGCCTCAACATACCTCTCCCTCTCACTTTCCACCCACTCTGACCCTCAGTCACACAGTGGTGGTGCCTGAGAGCAACATTCCCTCATGGATAGAACCCCCTCCTTGCTCACACATGCACAGACGTGTGCACAGATATGCCTGAAACAGTGTACGCATGTAAGCAGTCATCAGCTTTATTTGTGCTGGGCTGGGTGTGAGGGCCTGGAATATTCACTGAGCACCTAGTATTTACCAGGCACAATCCTAGGAGCTGGTGACACAGTTAACAAGACTTAGTCCTAATTAATAAGATTCCTGTCTTTAGAGAGCTTACATTTTAGTGAGGTGAGTAGAATAATAAACAAGTAAAAATATAAACAAGATAATTTCAAAAACAGATTACTGTGCTTTAAAAAGCACCAGAGTGCTGGGATAGAGAATGACTCTATTATAGCTTTATAATCTTCATTGTTGTATGTTTCCCCTGCCACAGGGCCTTTGCACATGCTAGTCCCTCTCTTAAAACACTCTCCCCTCCTTTCTTAACCTGGTTAACCCCTACTTATCTTTTCCCGACTTTCTCGAGCCCCCAACACAAGCTTCCATAACAATAACATCATCCATCTCTCTTTTGTGGCATAAATCACAATTGTCATGTTATCAGTCTTATCTAAAGTACGCACCCTGTGAGGGGAGAGCCAATCCTCTTTTGTTCACTGCTATATCTCCAGTGGTTAGCACAGTATCAACGGCCCAGTAGGGGCTTAACAGTTTCAAATGCATGAATGAAGCAGGAGAAAAGTCCAGATTTGAAGCCAAACATTACAGTTCCTTGAAATTTATCCATCAGCCTCTGGCATAGGAAACATCTCACAGGGGAGGAACTCCTTCCCTAGACCCTGCCTCCCACCAGACCCCTCTTCCCTAAATTCTAGGCCTTCACTTCTAAATTCAGTCATAGAGCAACTTGGGGTTTCTCCTTCTACACCCTAGTTGGCTGGAGGCCTTGCCTTTCTCCCCTAGGAAAGTCCCCCCAGGGCTTTGTTTTGTCCTCAACGCAAGAGCATCCCCTGCCTGACTGAAGAGATGAAGGTCCTTGGAGGCAGAAGGCAGAGGGAGATGTCAGGGCAGCCCTCTCCCTGGGGGACCCTCCGTCCCTCCTTCGGGACCAGCCCGACTCGTTACCCGCTTCTCAATGGAATCAGCCCAGGAGGAGATTGGGGGAACCTGTGGGGTGAGTTTCCTTGAGGGAAGGGGGCGCTGGGGCCTCACCTCACCACTTCCCTTAGGAAGGGAGCTGGGCTTCTGGGGAGCCAGGTGACGCGGGCACCAAGGCAGTTCCCGCACGGCGCCTCCGGCTCACGCAGTCTCTGAGGTTTCCCTGGGCTATCAAGGGGCCCTGACAGTGACCAAAGCCGTCGCCTTACTGTCCACTTCACCTGCCGGGCTCCCCTCACCCTCACCAAGACTTTGTTCCCCTCTTGGGGGGCAGTGCAGGAAGCCAGACCCACCCCAGGACCCCACGGGTGCCAAGGAAGCCTCATTCCTGAGGGTGGGCGCCCTCTGTCAGCCGAGGACTAGACTCCCCCAGTGGGATCTGATCCTGCTCTCAGCCCCGGGACAGGGGAGGTGGGCACCCGCAGAGGGCTGCTGTAGGGACCAGTGGGCTAAGGTCGTCTGGGTCTGGCACAAGCTCCTTCTCCAAGACCTGAGAAGCTGCCGAGGTGCGGCCTGCTGCTGACAGTGTGTGGCTGTGGGGATCCAGAGACATATGCTGTCAAAGGAAATTGTTGTTTCAATTTACATACACACCAGGGCTAAAATATACATTTACTTCATGTTTTAAATGCATCAAGAAAATAGAGCTAAGATGTTTATGGAGGACGCGCCCCACAGCAAGGCACTGGAGCTGCGTTCTGCAAAGTCAGTGCACCCACGCGGCCCTGCTGAGACGAGGCAGGGCCCGAGGACAGGCTCCCGGTCGCGTCTGGAACAGATGCTCACCATAGCAGTCAGGGCAACTCCAGGCAGCTGTCTCCAAGAACAGGGCACCCCGTCCAGCCCGAGAGAGGAGAGCAGTGCAGATTTTCAGTATTAAAAGCAAAACTATCACCACTGATTGAACATTTGGTAAGTGCCAATGATTATGCCGAGGGTATTTTCCCCAAAAAAATTGAATTAGAAGGTACTACTTTGCTTTCCCTTAATGAATGAAAAAAAAAAAGAGGCTCAGGAAGGTGAGGTGACTTGCCTAAGGCCACACAGCAAGAGTAAAAAGTAGAGTACCTCACTTGTCAAAGAACCAGAAAAACAAAATTGTTCCAAAACTAAGGATTGTGCAAATTTTGCACCCTGTATATTTGCTAACAGTTTAATGAATTGTTTAAAAGCAGAACTGTCACCCAGTACTCTGCTTCTGACCCACTGACACTTCACATGCATGTTGACGGGACCCACTGGACACCATGGATAGGCAGGGAAAACCGCCACCCAGAGGGTACCGTGGACGCATCCCTGTCATTCTCACTTGCCTCTGGAGGCCTGTCTCTTCTGCTAGTAATCTTGTGCCGGGGGCCGGGAAACCGCCGTACAAATTAACAATAGTTTTTATATTTCTAAATGGATAGAAAAAGTAAAAAAGTATTTTGTGACACCTGAAAATCATATGAAACTCAATTCCAATGTCTGTAAATGAAGTTTTCTTGGAACACAGCCATGTTCCTTTGCGTGCTGTCAGGGCTGCTTTTCACTGTCCAACAGCAGAGCTGACTAGCTGCAACAGAGACCAGACAGTCCTCAAGACCGAAAATACTATTTGGTCCTGAACAGAAAAAGTTTGCAAACACCTGCTATCTTGGACTGTCCTGTCCCAGATTTTCTCTGCAACATAATGTTATGAGGAACATATGATGTTTTTGTGACCACGTGAAAGGAAACTGATTTTTACCAAAAAACTGCTTACGTAATAAGCACCGTTTCCCAAATATACTTGTTTTCATATCCTTTCTGAACTGACATGCTTTCGTCACACTGCTAGCTCCTTTGTTAGCGAGTTAATAAATGTTGGTATGTGCTTGAGAGCAACTTGTCTAAGAAATGTTATTTTTGCACATTCTCAGCAGAAAGGCGGGTTCACATCTCCAAAAACCAAATGCGACAAAGAGAACGCAGCACGTGACTGATGAAAGGAAGAAACAGAAGTTGCTTCTGACCAGTCTTTGTCGTCAGTGGAGAAGAAAGGATGCACCCAGGTCCCTCAGACCTCAGCCTCACCCCACGGCCGCCATGACGACCACCAGTCACACCACCAGTGTCTATTCAGGGCTCAGCACGTGTCAGGAACTTGTGTAAGCATTTTCCATGGACTGTTCCATTTAATCCTCACAAGAAACCTGAGAGGCAAGTTCAATCACGATCTCCATTTTACAGACAAGGAAAGTGAAGCCCGGAGAAGCTCAGCATCTTACCCATGTCACAAAGTCAGTACACATGGGATGGTGACACTGGGACATGTGGCCAGGGAAGACAGGGACACCAAGGCCTCTTGAATCCACTTCTCTATCCTGAGCTGGGTGACTCAGAGGGTTATTCTCGGGCCCGTTGGCCCGTCCATGCTGGGGGCTTATTTATTCTGCTGCTCACCACTAGGCTTTGACCGGTCATGGGGGGGGAGGGGGTCAGAAGCAAAGGGAATTTCCTTATTTTCTCCTCACATCTCCCCCCACCTTAACTTCCCTTCATATGTTCTATTTATTGCAAATACCTTTCCTAGTTGCTTATTTGCCTTTTAGAGCTTTTTTCCTATACCTAAAAAATCTTGTTTAAAAAATTACATAATTATCTAAGCTCACGTTTAAAACTACCAACATCATGGACTATAAAGTTAAACATGAGGTTCCTCCATCCCCTACAACAATCTCTACTTTTCAGGGAAGGAGAATGTTATCCCGTGGGACAGCCACAGATATGCATCTTTATCATCTCATAGACACTTCAAATGTATTCAGATCTTCTCTTTTCTAAGTTTTTTCATCATATTTAGGTTTAGAAAAGTCCTACCTAGGGTACAGGTGTGTGGGACTGCTGTTTTCTCTTCACAGTAAAAGGGATTAAAAAGAAAAAACTCATGCCCAAAATATTCTGGGTTTCCACTAGAAACTGTAAATCTACTTTCTACCTTCAATTCAAGGCATTCTATCCCAATTCAGCTGCCTACGCTTTCTGCCCCTATGGGAATTCCTAAATTAGCCATCATCTGGTTTATTTCCAGTGTACAATCCATTCACCCATCGCCTCTCCAGAGACCCTCCAGCTGGCACAGAGCATAGCCTCCGTCAGGGCCCATCAGAACCCCGTCTGCAGGTTTCCTATGGCGCTTCCTAACAGGTGCAAATGTGCCAGGTAGGAAGTCATTTTGTTGTCCAGATGGATGATTCAGGAAAGGCCTTCTGGAGGTCTGCCCCTGCCCAGCCCACTACCTTCCTCCCCAACCTCTCCTTGCAGTAGGGGCGGGGCCCAAATGCTAATGGGTACTCCTGCAACAGACCCTGTGGGCACAGGACACTCAGAGCTAAGTAGGCTGAGGTGGGGAGGGCAGGACAGGACGGTGGAAGGAGCAGCAACTGGTGGTTTGAGACAAAGAAGGCTCTAGTGCCATCCTCCTCCTGGTGCACGCAGGGTGCTGGTGCTGTGTGCTGGCAGGTCTGAGTTGAGAGCGTGAGGCTGCATGGTCACCGTGGGGGCAGACTAAGGAGTTCCCTGTGGAAAGGTCTGTATCTGCCGCCATCCGGGAAAGAACTGCTCCCAGGACGTGGCCAGGGCCTGTGGAGGTCCCCTTGGCAAAAGAGGGGTTGAGGCTCCTCCCATCTGGGACTTGCCCAGTTCCCTGTTCAGTCCCCCTGGCGCATGTAAAAACAAACAGGGACGCTGCAAAGCGGGTCGGTCAAACGCACAAGTTTATTGATCTGTCGAGGAAGCCCTCTCACTGGGGGTTTCAACGGTGGTTTCTGAAACCGACTGCTCCTGAGCTTCAACTCCAGTCCGACAAGCGAGCGGCTGCACAGAGCTGCTGACCTCACCTGCTCTTGAAATGTGCTGCCTTCCACTAGCGAGAAGATGGGTCCGGCATCAGACATCTGCACACCACATGGCGTAAGACTGCCTTCTGTCCCTTCTTCCTGTACACCACGAGAAAGCCGGGACAGAAGGACGCGGGAGTGAGCACATGTGGGACTCCAGGCACACGTGCAGAGAGGACAGCGCTCCCAGCCCAGCAGCGTGGCTGTCCAAAGCCTGGTAGCAGGCTGCTTCCAGCACCATCGGCCCTGTGGCCTTTCTCTTGGGGAAATTACTCTCCAAGACTGTTTTTTCCATCTGTAAAATGAGGCAAATAAGGGTTGACATGAGGATCAAATGAAGTAACAAACATTAGATTGATACAAACATTTCATTAAACTGCATTTCATTAACTTAAAAGGGTAATTACAGGATGTCTGAAAGCAGCGTGCCTGGTGGGTCAGCTGGAGAAGGAGCTCTGTCCTTTCAGAAGTTATCTGAACGAGATAACAAGAGCAAATGTGGTTCCAGTGAGTCCTAAATCCAGGCCTTGCCCCAAAGAAACGCAACACAAATTGTTCTCCTCCTTTCCCCCAAACAAAACAGAACAGCAAGGAGCTGCAGACCAATGACCCTACAACAGCTAACGTCACCAAGGACGATGTGCCCAGTGCTGTTCCAACTTCACACTTGCTTCATTTTTACCCCTACTCTATGAGCTCCGTGCCGTTCCCACTGTCTGACAGATATGGAGAGGTCAGGGAACCTGTCCACGGACACACAGCTAGGCACAGGGGAGCTGGAGCCCCAGACTAAGTGGACCCTTACGCCAAGGAGGTAGAGAACAGTTTTCCACAAACGAGTGCTCAGCTGGTCTGTCTTGTGATGTAAGTAAACTCTCAAAGAGCAGGGCAGTCTCAGAGCAGGATGGTCTCAGCGCTGGGCAGCGCTCATATGGTGCACCCAAGCGTTCTTGCCCAGGACAGGCCAGCCCTGTGTCTCCCTTGTGTACGGACTTCAGGAAAGCCTCTAGGCCAAGGGCAAGGGCAAGGCCCAGTGCTCAGTCACCTCCACAGCCTCCACAGCTCAGATCCACTCCCAGGAAGCTCCTTGGAGGCTGTCGAAAGAGGACACACTAAACAACAAAGATCCTTATGGCACGTTAAAAACTGGGCTAAGAGGCCCTCTGTGAAAAGGGGAAAACCTACAGATTAGTTTCACCTGCACAGAGTGCAGACCGGCCTCACTCAGGACCACGTGTGCCCGTGTCCTTGCCCTGCACAGCCTCTGCAGGTGGCTGTGTGTGGGGCCACGCTGACAGCAGGCCCTCAGCCTCTGATCTTTTCTTTGCTATAGTCTGGTCACTGAATTCACATCGACCCTGCACCTGTTTGACTTCGCCTCTTTCACAAAATCTGAGATTTTAGGGCTGTTGGTCAGTGTCCTGTAGTGCAGGGCTTTTCCAGGTGGATTGCTTCTGATGAGGTTTCCTCTGATTCAGGTGAGGAAAATACCATCTTGACCCCTCTCCCAAAGAAAGTCTTCTCACAAAGGCTTTGACAAAGAAGAAAGAGACTTGGGTAGGCCTCAAGAGCTTCCCTGGCTGAAGATTCAAGGGTCTAGGACCCAGAAGTAAACTGTCTCAAGGCTGTGGAGAGGCGGGCACACATGCTTCTGAGGACATCAGGAGCTCTGAGCAGCAGCTACTCCCAGTCAAGTATGTCAGCAGGCAATCTTCCTAGAGCAATACGATTTGGCTTTGTTCCAGAAAGAATTTAAGACTGATGATGGAAACTACAAGGAGGGAGCTTCCATTAAAAGTGGAAGTCTTGCCCCAAGGCCTGTGCTCAAATGACTTCTCTCACCTCAAGGATTTTTTCAGGTACTGAGTCAATGGCCTCAGGTCCACTGTGTCCAACTCAACTTCCTCCTTAGTACACTGTGGAGATTGAGGCAATAAACTCTCCTAGCTCCTCTCACGACTCCAGGAGGGGCAGAATAATCGCTCTCTAGTATTCCTCATGGCCGGGAGAAGGGAGCATGGGACTGTGGGAGGCATCAGATTCAGCACAGAGCACGGCACAGCAAATCCTTACAGCAGGAACAGCCACTGAGCAAATCCACTGATTACTCCTCTACTGAGATGCATATGGTCAATAACGTTCCAAGTTATGGCTTAAATGTAAGTGTCAACTCACGCCTGTGTGGACTGGCTCACTTCTATTTTATGAAATACATGATACGAAATTAAAAAATACTCATGGAAACATAAAGCGTTTGTTTATTATTGCTATAATCAAGGCAAAATCTCTTAAAACAATTGGCCTTGATAACGGAAGTATAATCAGAATCATTATTCATGAATTTACAGTTTGTTCTCCTCTGCTGTTCAGACTTCTCGGTTTCACACACACTATCTACCACAGACCTTTATTACACAAGAGGAAGAATGAACTTGGAAGTCACAAAGCATGGCTTAACCACTTCCCCAGTTACCTGACTTCAGACCAATCACTTACTCTCTATGAACCTGTTTCATCCTGTGTTTAAAAAAAAAATGGAAGGGGAGAAAGGGTCAGAATCAACCCACCCACTTAAAGGATCCATTGAGATAACATGGGTGATATCTGAGAGAAAATAAAGAAAATTGCCCTGTAGACTCAAAAAAAAAACTATACAAAATAGAGTATCACTAACAACAGTGCTTCGAACTCTGAGGGAGGGGCAGGAACCCTCACTAGTCTACATTCCTGGCAGCCTGTGTGACAGTCACCGAGAACCTGAAATCTGGAGCAGGACAAAGAATATTAATGACCAAGCCTCCAAACTCACTGAGGAAGGACCTGGCCTAATAAGCCACGTAATACGGACCCAGTTTTACCCTAGAAACACTTTGTCAGTTTTATTTTACCTTAATATATATCTGTACAGGCAATAATAAAAAGGTTATTACACAACAATTCAGTGAGTTTTACCTAGTTTCAAGAATAATGCATGCAGTTACAAATGAGAGGTAGAAACACTGTATTAAAGACCTAAAAATACAAACATCATATAAATAAATGTTCAAATTAATTGCTGGAATTTCATAGAGATAAATAAGGTAAAAATTACATTACTTCGTCAAAGTAAAGGAAAACCATGTTTTTGTTTGTTTTAATCAGTACACTAAAATTAGATTAATGCCAAAGAGCTTCTGTGCAATTTGTCAGAGTTCAGATTATATTACCTAAAAGGATTAAAATAAAGAGATTAAAACTGGAGAATGGTTTATTCAAGTATTCAAGCAGATAAGTAAAAAAAAAAAAAAAAAATCAAATAATATACAATGTAGGAACCATTCCTGGAGGGGTGTTAACTGCCTGCATTCTCCATGACTAGCTATTGGGTGAACTGTCAGGATCAACCTAAAAAATACACAGTAGGCTGAAGAGAGCTGCCCGCTTTCCTAAGAGAAAACAAACTTGATTTTTCACTAACCTCATGTAGAAACTTCACATCACCAACAAGCCTTTTAGATCACCAGCTTTGTTTTGGCCCTATAAAATTCTTGAGAGAATCTCTTGATTGGTATTTTTTCTACTACTGCCCAAATAAACCTAGCCTTTAATAAACCTAGAGGTCACAGGCATCAATGCACATTCTACATGCACAAAAAATGCAACCAAAAGCAAACCACCAGCAACTCAAAAACATCACTTAGCAGATTTGCAGGTGTAGATGGATAGGTCAAAAAAATTCGAAGGTTCACATGAACACAAGCTTTTACCAGAGAAAAGTCCATACAGATTACATGTGAATTCTGGAAAGGGGATGTGTATATAACCAAGTAAAATATTTTAAACAAGTCTATTGCGCCTCAGTTAGTTTCAAACTGTAAAATCCAATACACAGTTGTTTTAATAAATTAGTGCAATATGAAAGATTCTGGAAGATTAACGTGTGTCCATATTAGATCAAATTGAAGATTTCACAATTTCTTCCAAGAGCCATCTTTCGCTGCTTCTTAAGCTATCGCTTCCTGAGCTGGTTAAGGACGCGTGCTCAGATTTAGACAAACTTACCCATGTATCAAACTGCCTGGATGAGATGTAGGTTTTTTCACTTTTATCCCTCAGTAAACATGTGGAATTTCACACATTGCTCTGGTGAACTGAGTGAAGAGCCACTCACTTTGTTTCATTCTTAATTATCCTTAAGAATAACTGTACTGATAATTCTAGTTCTAACGTACATTTATTTACCAAGTTCAAAGTGAGAGCCAAGTGGAATACTCTTGCTTCTGCCCTACAAAGAAAGGGAAGGGGTAGCATCTCTGATAAGGCAGATTTCCTACAAATATGTAGTTTTTGGATTGTTTTCCTTTTTGAAATGACTGCTTGCTCTTTGGTAATCACCAGGTAAGAAACTACAGTTTCCTGGGGATGGGGCAACCGAATCCAAGCTATACTCGCAGACGCATCCCTTCACATCCCACCACTGGTCCGCGGACAAGCCTGCTGCCGCTCACATGGCCGAGGCGCTATAGCAGAGTGCCGACAATCTTCTTTCAATACTAGATTTATCTGGAAATAGAAAAATTAAATTCATAATAAAAATCATTATATTTTTTAAACCAAGGAAAGAAGAACTAATTTTAAAACATCACTATTTCTCTACCTACATCCTCATCTCTGTTCTATCTTTGCCCCAGAGTTAACAGGTCTGAATATTCCTCTTCTTTCTGCCTGGTAATTCTTTAGATATGATTTCTAACTTAGTGCTGCACAGTAGTAAAATCTAGATTAGCAAGTCAAATAAAGAACATTTAGATTTCAACAGCTAGCTTGCTCACAATTGCAAATAATTTGAGACCTACCATCCCCATGTGGCTCTTCAAAATGTGGTATGACCACATATACTCCAAGGAGTCCACCACCTCCTCCTCAAAAATCCTATCACTGGGCTTCTATGTGATAAGTAATAATATTATCCTGGTACGCTATCAATCTCCACTCTGCAGTCTACCTCAAATCTGAAGTACCTAGGCTCTTCATAGGATTCTTCAGTCACTAAGCCCATGAAGCTTAAAATAGTTGCATTTATTGTTATTTAATAACAAAAACAAAGTTCTCTACATACACGAACACACACCCACCACCACAGTAACACAGTGTAGAAATCTAAAGACTGATGACAAAAGCCATCAGCACTTTACCAGCATTCTCTCTAATTCTCACTACAACTGTGCAAGTCAGGCATTGTTCCCTCATCTTTTAGAAGAAGAAACTGAGACCAAAGAAAGGGTAAGTGATTTGCCCAAGGTTGGAAATCCAAGATTCAAACCCAGGCAGTATGATTCCCAACTCCAGGCTCTTCCTACTCTACCTGTAGGAGACAACTAGACTGCAATCAATAAACACACTTGGTTTATTGGTACGTCAACTTACATTTATGTACATTTTCAATATCTGCAGGGTCCTGGAGAATCTTAGTTAGGCCTTCCAAAAGAAGGGCTGCTTTATGGTAGCGATAAACAATATCTTCAGTCTGCTGAAACATCTCATCCAGGGCTGCAGACTGAACCTGGAGCCAGTCAACAAAAATGAGAAGATTCTCAATTTTTCCAAGAAAAAACAAATCCATTTGGTCAATACAGCTCTAAATGGAATCGATCCAAAATTAACACACTTTGACAAAATGATATAATCCACTGAACTATATAAAAATTGAAGATTCATCAGATGAGTGATATAAAGAAGGAGCTTCCTGACAACAGTTATTCTGTGTTTAAACAGCCTTTTCATACTCAGAGATTCATGACTCATAAAACTTACTTCTGAATTGGCTCTTCTATGACTTCACTAAAAAGCTCGTCTTAAACATATACTTTTACACTGGAGTAACTAGAGCACACTAGAGCATTTCATTAAAGTAGATTTTGTTACAGTAAAATAATTAAGTAATGTTAAAAGCCACTTATCAGCCTCTTCTTTTAGTCAAAGGATTTTCTGCTGTAGTCATTCATTCATTCAGAGATACTGACTGAGCACCTACTGAGTTCCAGGTGCTGAGCATACAATGAAGGAACGCTCACAGTCTGGAGGGAGATACAGGCCTGCAAAACATGCCATTCAAATTCCAAGGGATACATGGCATTATAGGAGGAAACCCGAGATGGTACAGAATACACAAGAGGTGCAACTAACCCCACTATGGAAGGAAAAGAAGATTAGGGAAAGCCTCCAAAAGTGATGTTTAAGCCAAGTCATAAAGAAAAAATAGGAGCTATCTAGGTGATGGAAAAGGTGGATAGGGGCTTTCCAGAAAGAGGGGACAGCAGTATTATTCACAGGGTTATCAGTATTTCAGGAGTTTTCCCAATAGCTTTCTAATTTTCTCTTTAATCATTAAATGCTAGGGACTGTCAATAATCCAGTATCCTAATTTACTTGTCAATATGCTCTGTCTCTTGGAAAAAATAATTTGAAGCCACTTACAATAAGATAAATAAATTGGACACAGAACATCAGAGCCAGGAGGAAGAGAAGGAGAAAAGGAAGGAGAAATAAATAACATAAGTGTTAATATCTCTAAGCATGCTTACAATGGGGTTCAGGGCAGGCTGCCCTGAAATATGCCACTTCAGCACATTGATTATTTTGAATTAAAGTTACTTAAAAAACAGCCAGTGCAAGGCCACTGTGACCCTCCTTTATCCCCCTGGAAGCAGGAAATAGATCTCTCCATGTGAAAGGTACCCTCTCTGCACCAGGAGGTAGAGAGACATCCGTATCATCAGAGACAGGGAATGCAAGGCCGACCAGGCTGTGTAACAAACTGCTTAGTCTCTTCCTAATTAGTGCCCAAGCCTAAGTCTCCCTGTCTCGTCACATCTTCACATATTTATTGCTTGTCCAAAAGGTATAAAAGCTGCCTGCTTTGGTCACTTCTTTGGGTCTCATATTCTTATGGAGCCCTTGTACGTAAGAATTAAATTTGATTTTCTCCTGTTACTCTGTCTCATGTTGTTTAATTCTTAGACCAGCCAGAAGAATCTAGAAGGGTAGAAGAAAAATTTTTCCTCCTCACCCTAAGCAGCCAGAGCAAAAGGGGGAACTTATTGAAGTTACATGGCTCCATCGTCAGAAAAGAAAGACGCATCCTAATTCCTTATGAGAGGGCATTTTTCCTGGCACAAATTTCTAAAAAAAAAATTTATCATATGAAGCCTTAATTCGGTACACAGTGATACAATGCATATTATTCACATCAATAGTTTGTAGTAAAATACTGTGTACTATTCTTATCAATAGTTTATATTCCAAAGTTGTTTTCACATAACTTTTTATTATAACGGCTTTCAAAATAAGACTAAGGGTGTAATATAACAGTACAATTCAAAGCAGACAAATTTTGAGGGGAGGAAGGAAGTTTATGATGCTAATGTGGTAAAAATAAAGTTGGCCAATAATAAATTTTTCCCCCACTTAATACTTCTTTAACAGTCCCTAATTTCATCTATACTTCAGAGGAATTTTTTCCCCATGAGACAGAAAAATTATTTCCAATCACACAACTAGATAATTGGAAGAGTAGATTTTACTTTGTGTCTATATTTAAATAAAATCAGTAAGCAGAATCTGAGCACATGAATTTTTGTGGTTAACAGGGCAGTATTTTTTCTAATGTTTTATCAAGCCAAAATTTCTCAAATTGTAGAAAATGCAGAAAGAGATTTAGCTAAAGCTTTTAGATGCAAACTATGAAAAGATTAATCACACCTAATTTAGCAATTTTTAAGAGATATAATATTTTACCAAATGTAACCAATGTTACTTACTGTGCACTTAAATGTTAACTAAGTCCAATTACTCCTTTAGTAAGAGGTAATCACAATACTTGGGACTTGGGAGCGGTAGGGCATGAACTCTTTTTAAAAGGATAGATAATGTCAAGTAGGGATTCAATTCAAAGGATATTCTTAAAGATAAGTAGTACTATAGAACCTTAAAGTAGTGCTATCAAAACCTTAAAAAGGGTTACCATTTCTACAGCACAATTATAGATGAGTTTCTCTGCAGTCACGCTGTTGATTTCATCAATAAATCTCTGTTTGTCAGAGAAGAAACGATTCAGCTTTTCTGTAAGCTTCTTGCACATGGTGATGCAGAATTTATATCGTTCATTCAGATTTTTGACAACTGAAAAAAGTTGAGATGAGAATTTTAATTTTCCTCCAGAAATAAAGTCACAGTGACACGCACCTTTCCTAGTGATTTAAAGAATGTGACCCTAAATGATCACTGAAAACTATGACAGGAAATCAGATTGTTTCATATGTCCTCTCTTTCAGTTATGAAAAGATTGAGAATAAAAGCACTTCTGGACTGCTCGCTATATCAAGTAAATGGCAAAAACAAAAACCAGAAAAGCCAGCATCTTTTCTCATTTAAGAATATTTAATAACACAGTGATTCCTCATCAAAAATTTTCTTTCTTAGTGTAATGGGGAAAGGGGCAGCTCCAGCACCCCAGGAGTTGCGTGTTGTCACGCTCCACCCTCACCTTGTTTCACAGCTGTGGATGGGCTCAGTTTCCCGGACTTGATCTGGGCTTTGGCGAGATGCAGAGATGATGCCAGCAGCTGTGCTGCTTTCATGTATAACACCAGCTGCTCCACTCGCCTGCACCCAGAAGACAGCAAGCTGAGTGTTATCCTGTGAACCATTATGGCTCTCTACACATCAGGTCACCATTAAAATAGCCTTATCTAAGGGAATATCATTATCCTTGATATTTTTAATGCACAAATAACTCCTGAAGGGAGAAGGTTTGGCATGGAAAAAGACATGTATATTTTGAATACAACAGATACACTGAGATAAAAATCAATACAATCTCTCTATTGTCAAGTATCTCCAACAGTATAAATTACAGGGAAAAGGCAATGCTAAGGTTGAAGAATCTCTAAGTCTTGGCTCATACAGTGAAATCTAGCACAATGGAACACCATGGACTCCCTTGAAGCTTTTAATAATGAGATATGATCTCCAGTGGATGACAAGGCCTCTATCTCAGACATGAATTTACAGAAGGCAGGAAGAATCTGGAAATGAATGACAAAGGGGCACCTACCCCCAGTCTTTGCTCAGTTGGCTGATCTGGTCCACAACCACACTCTCCTGAATCTGGTACAAGGAGACAGCGGATGTGCACAGCTCTGGGTTCCCTCCCCGCACAGCTGTCAGGTCCAGCACACACTCAGTGAACATCAACATCACATTCAGGTGGCGTAAGGTGTCTGTGTGTTCTCGCTGTGGCAAAGCCAATTTGTCTTAGAAACTTCCAGGTTAAGAAGAGATGCATACTCATTTCTGCATATAAACCATGGCCACTGCTAATGTTTTTCGATACTTATGAATATCAGAATGATCAAAGGAGATTGAGATTTTTTAATTCCAGAAAACTAGTGAGAAAATAAACACAAATGAAACCAAACGTAGGCATGCGCATGTGTCTGTGTGTATGAGAGCACCCACAAAATTAAGCTTCAAAGATATGAAGTCACTGTGCTTTTACCAGAAACAAATCAAGTACGGAATAAGTAAACCAACATACATGAAACAAAAACATGACAGAATAGATACCAAGATTATAAGGATATTCTGCACACTAAACCATACTTCTTGTTAGTTTAGTGAATTCTACTGAATTACAATTTCAGAGATGCTTTATTTTAGTTTCTGCTAGTTTTTCAGTTAACAATGATTCCTAACACCAAAACTTCTGTGATCTTTTCAGTTAAAGAGGGAGTACAGACAGAAAAAATAGTATGCATTAAAAACAGGTATTCTAAAATTAATACTGAGATTTGTTTTTAGCTACAAACTTTTTTTTAAGATTTTATTTTTCTTTCTTCTCCCCAAAGTGCCCTGGTACTTCGTTGTATATTTTTAGTTGTGGGTCCTTCTAGTTGTGGCATGTGGGATGCCTCCTCAGCATGGCTTGATGAGCGGTGCCATGTCCGCGCCCAGGATCCGAACCAGCAAAACACTGGGCAGCTGAAGCGGAGTGTGCGAACTTAACCACTTGGCCATGGGGCCGGCCCCTATAAACGTATTTTGAAATCTTAAATAAGACTAAGTTTCTCATTCCCCTTTCATGGTTAAAAAAGGATGAGAGGGCCGGCCCGGTAGTGCAGCAGTTAAGTGTGCATGCTCCGCTTCGGCAGCCCGGGGTTTGCCAGTTTGGATCCCAGTGCAGACACGGCACCATTTGGCACGCCATACTGTGGCAGGCGTCCCACATATAAAGTGGAGGAAGATGGGCATGGATGTTAGCTCAGGGTCAGTCTTCCTCAGCAAAAAGACGAGGATTGGCAGCAGATGTTAGCTCAGGGCTAATCTTCCTCAAAAAAATAAAAATAATAAATAAATAAATAAAACATGTTTAAATTTAAAAAAAAAAGAAAAAAAGTATGAGAATCATATTCCTAGAGACTTTTGAAAGCTCTCTGTTCAATGACACAATATTGGCCTGTATGTTCCAATGCACCGGAACACATACTGGAATATAATTTACGCCTAATTTGATGCAGATTGAAAAAACTCTCAAGATTGTTTTTCCAATCTTAAATTGGATTACATATATTTTCAAAATTGCTACTAAACTTACTACAAAATGACTATTAAAATTTTGCATGCAATATTTTATAAATTTTATGTGAAATATTCCTCATTCACACAAAATAGAATGTTAGAGGTCCAGCATGGAGAGAGAATTTGTTCTTTAGTTGGTCTGGAGAATTGATCATTTTAATTTAAAATGTAGGCTAAGTTAGCATTGTATTCAGGGACTGAGGATACAATGTAATCCACTGAATGCTGTCCTAGAGTCAAGATAGAGCAACTGAGCTGGCAGAGCCTTTGGAATCATAAAATTAACTTCTCCTGTTCTGGATTTGCGCTCAGTATGCTTCAGATTATAATGTGTTTTTCCTTGTAGAACCAGCTCCATGGAGGGAAGGTACTGGTCTACAAATGAGAGCATCTAGTCTGCTTGGCAGGTTTCTTTCTCAATGTTAGTGACTAATCTGGCAATACGGCTTACTATTTTTTTAAACCTAAGTTTAAGTGTATTGTTTTTATCTTATGAAGAAAAGCAAGCTTTGAGAATAAAAAGTTAGGGTTTTAAGACAAAGATTATGCATTACAAGTCCAATAAGTAGTACATAAACTTCAGACAAAAAAATTAAGAACCCAAAATCTCTGTATGTCACTTCCTATCAACCAAAGCTTGTTATGGATGAGTGTCAATGTCAACATTATTCTGAAAATATATCAGCAAAGTTTTTCAAATAGAAGGAAAGATAAGAAAGGCAATGTCAACATTATTCTGAAAATATATCAGCGAAGTTTTTCAAATAGAAAAGAAAAGGTAAGAAAAGCAAGGAAAAAACCTCAGAACTTTCAATAGTATTTTGCTCTCTCACCATCACTAGAACTTTCTCTTAGGGTATCAGTATTACAATGACATGTCACAGTGGTCATTCGCTACCTCCATCAGTGTCTCCTCTGGCAGTTCCGGGGCTTCAAAGGTGATGAGCCCCTCTAGGCTAGGGGGTGAAGCACCATAAGGCATGTATCTCAGGCTGGGAGCTATCTCTGCTCCTGGAGGGGAAGACCCTGGGCATGGCCCAGGCGGGGAACCCACACACACACGGCCACTTGCAGAGCACAGGGAACCTCCGGAGCTGCTGGAGCCCACTGCAAGGAAACAGGACAGGCAGCACCATGCCCGGGTGAGTGCACAGAGTTAAGGACTTTGGTGCCCACTCCTACTATCAAAGAAACAAAGGAAATGTTCAAAGAACAGTCACTGACCCCCATTTGAGCATATGGACAGGTTTTATTTTTCCATGTTCACTTTTATTTCTTTCTATATGTTTATTTTATAGACATCATAGCTAGTTTTAAATATTCTGTTTTAAACGAATTTATAGCATATGTTTCTCCCCATTGCTTCACAGTATTCATAATTATAAAATTCAACGGATGCCTAGTAGTTCACTAAATTTATACATGTAATGTTTATCTGGAGGCATGTATACTATTTCTGATTTTTTATATCAGAAATAATACTGTAATGAAATCCAAAGTTTTCCTTTGTTTGAATGATCTGTGATAAATACTCCAAGTGGTATCATAAACGGGAATGGGATTACCGTAGATTAAACATTATACACATTGTCATAGGTCTTTGTGAGAGCCGCTACGCCACTTTCTAAAGTAGCCATGAGTAAGCACACAGGTCTCACGAACCTCCACAACACTGGGCATTATATATATTTAATGATAGCTTAGTTAACAGGTATAAAATGTTACTTGCTTAAAACGGTATTTTCTTATTAATACTTTTAATAATCTTAAAAACAAGATTATTAGCTCTACTTCCTGTCTTATTATCTATTTATACTCTTTACTTATTAATCTACACATACCTTGATTAATGACTTATTTAGCATAAGAGAATTTAAAGGACACAAGCTACAATATATAAGATGATGTCGAATTAGACTTATTTCAAGTCTAATCTAAATACTTTCTTAATTTTTGGTGTTAGAAACCTACTTATAGAGTATGGATGATAAAATCAATCTATTAGCCTGTCTAAATATATACAGGATTAAGTGCAAAGACTGAAACCCAAAGTACAAAAAAAGTTAAAACTTAGGTTTCTTATAAAACAAAACAAAGATAAATAACCACCTACCATTTTCAAAAAATTTACTGGCTGTGCACACCATATATGCATAGCTACTTCATCATGGAGAAGTCACATTGACATTATAATGCTATAATATTATACATTATTATAAATATATAATGTAGTACTTTTATAAAGTTTTTTTCACCCACAAATATTGCCTCATTTACTCCTTATAACCCATTAAGGTAAAGAAAATAGTCACTTCCACATCATTGGTAAAGAAACTGAAATCCAGAGAGGTTAAGTAACTCGTCTAAGTTACATCAAGCCATTATCAGAACGCTACACTCCAAACACTAGCCAAAGGCTGTCATAAGACAATTTCTTACCTGACGTTGTTCTAGTTCGAAGGACCATGTGGGTACAAGTTGGGGCAGTGGCACTGTGTGGAGGAGATCCTACAGTGAAGAGGACAGCCCTGGAACTTGCTGCTGTTCCTACAGGAGGTGACAGTACAACACCACAGGCTCCTGCAGGGGCTGCAACAAAAAGTTCACAAAATGCTTCATTACTTTGATAGTGCTTATATGTGAGGGTGGGATTATATGGAGACCTTCACTTTTATATTAGGGTTGGTTTCTTTTTTTTACAATAAGCATTTATTACTCTTAAAAATCAGAAAATTCAACACAGATCTCCATAAAAAATATTTTATAGTACTCTCTTCATAGTTGTGAACCTTCTTGACACCAAAGCCTACTACTTAGAGTTATTTCTGTATACTCCTAAAATACACAAACTGCAGTCACATCTGTTGAGGATAATTTGAAAAAGTGGAAACCAAGAACTGGGAATAAAAATGTGAGGTAAAGCTGAAGGGAGATGAGCAGTTACCACGGCAATAGAGCTTTAGAAAGAGTCCAGTACACACACTCCTTCGAATTGCACTCTATATCTATCAGGAAGAAAAGGAGGTGGGAAAAACGTCACAGGGGCCCAACAGGCTGAGGCTGGGCAGGATGAAGAGAATGTGAAAACCCCCATCTACCCCTCCAGGTTGAATCAATAAAAGCTGTCCAAAGCTTTTTCACATCAAGCATCTGAAAAACATTCCATTTCTGAGACTACAGAATGGAGGTAGGAGTTAATAACACAAACCATAAATTTAAAAGAAGAGCCACTGAATCAGATATAGAAAAAATTGCCTCTCAGTGTCCATGTTATCTGCAACAGAGTATAACAAACTCAAAGCATCTAATTAACAGCAGAAGAGAGAGTTCATAAAAAAATCTTCTAGGGAGCAAGGGAACAGTAAGTGGGAATTAATTAAATAGTACCCATTGTTACACAAGATGTATAAAGTGACACAGATATTCTCTTTATTTAATGTAATATCTTTATGATTTTACTTTAGTATTAGCATAAAAGTATAGCATTAGTAAAAGTAGTAAAAGTATTAGTAAAGTACTAGTAAAATTATTAGCATAAAAGTATTTAAAAATGTTCATGGGTATATTTTAAGAGACAATGACTCTATTTTTTCCCTATGGTCTTAAATGTTTTTCTTACTATCAACAGTTTTTATTTTCAGAAACTGAAACTTCAAGATTAGAAAGAGAAATTTGTAATTTCAAATGATGATGATAAAGTTCATGAGGAAAACAGAAAGGAAAAAGACAATAAAAGTAATCAAAGATGTACTTTATGCCTTAACATTCTTTAAGAAAAACACCTGGTTTCACATCCATGAACTTGGCTTTAAATTATAACACATATTCACATAGAATTTATAAGCTCTAAAAAATTTAAATTTACTTCTAAAGGAGAATGAGACGTAATACGGTCATTTAGGCAAGCTGTTTTGAAAAATTATCCCAATTCCTAGTAACTTAGTGACTTTTGGTAAAAGGTACATGGAAGAAGAATGACTTCCAGAATAGCAGTGTGAGGTATGGGGAGCACTGCAGACCTGCTCCCCAGTGAAACAACCATAACTGGTGACAATTATTTTTTTAAAAAAACATTTAAAGTCTCTGGAAATTGTCCTGAGGCCATACAGGAAATGAAACATTTATTCAAGAATATCTACTACATCTCACTAAGAACTGTAGGTGGAAGTTCTAACCTAAGCCAGCAGATCAAATACTAGGGCTCTTGTTGCTCTCATACCAGTTCACTTGTCTGGCAGAGGTTCCATGCCAGTAGAGACAAGCCATGAAGACCAGAGGCTTCCAACCTATCCAGCACCTAGCTCACAAAGCAGGGGTGTCACTCTAAGAAAAATGGGCCACTATTCTCATGCCCAGCTCTAGCTTAACAGTGCACAGGATTTCCCCAGGGGGTGGAGGAGGCAGAGAACAGAGAATTCTAAAACTCCCTCCAAGGCAACTGACCTTATTTGAAGCAGATCATGGGGAAGTTCACGCCTAAGGACATTGTCAAAAACAATGAAGATTTTGGTGGTAAGCAAGTAAGAGGAGGCTGTTAGTTCCAAGAGAGCAACAAGCTACAAAGAGACCATCTAGAAGTTTAAAAGAGAGAACCAGGGAAAGAGACAGCTAAGAAGAGCCCTACTATGTGCACAGATCAATGGAAAATTGAAAGCCCAGAAATAAAACCACACATCTATGGACAGCTTATCTTTGACAAAGGAGCTGAGGGCATACAATGGAGAAAAGAAAGTCTTTTCAAAAATGGTGCTGGGAAAACCGGAAAGCCACATGTAAAAGAATGAAGATTGACCATTCTTTTTCACTATTCACCAAAATAAACTCAAAATGGATCAAAGACCTAAAGGTGAGACCTGAAACCATAAGGCTTCTGGAATAGAGCTTTACAGGAGTACTGCATTTACATTTCACTGTAAATCTGAAGTACATTATGATAACTTAATATGTATATTGTAAGCAAGCAGCAAGCAAATAACTTTAAAAAATTAAAAACATCATTAAAGGAACAAAGAGTTACACTAGAAAATATTCACTTAATGCAAAAGTAGTAAAGGAAGAATGGAGAAACAAAAAAGACAACATATATAGAAAACAAAAAGTAAAATGCACATATAAATCCAACTATATCAATAATAACATTAAATGTGAACAGATTAAACAATTCAATCAAAAGGTAGAGATTGTTAGACTAGATTAAATAAACAAGACCCAACCATATGCCTTGTACAGAAGACATACTTTAGATTAAAAAATACAAATAGGTTGGGCCAGCCCCAGAGGCCTAGTGGTCAAGTTCAGAGCACTCTGCTTCAGCAGCCTGGGTTCAGTTTCCAGGTTTGGACCTACACTCCCCTGTTAGGAGCCATGGTGTGCTGGTGGACCACATACTAAAAAATAGAGGAAGACTGGCACAGATGTTAGCTCAGGGTGAATCTTCCTCACCAAAAAAAGAAAGGAGATTGAAAAAAAAGGATGGGAAATGATAGATGATGCAAATAGCTACCATAAGAAAGCTATAGAGGTTATATTAATATCAGACAAAATAGACTTTAAAACAAAAATTTGTTACTATAAATAAGGAACATTTTATAATTTTAAAAGTATCATTTCATCAGAAAGATATAATAATTATAACTATATAAGTACCTAACAACAAAATCCCAAAATGCATGAAGCAAAAGGACAGACTGAAAGCAGTAATAGACAATTCAACAATAATAGCTGAAGAATTCAATTCCCTACTTTCAATAATGATAGAACAAGTAAGCAGAATACTATCAAGGAAATATAAACCAACTAGACCTAAGAGACATCTATAGAACACTATATCAAACTGCACCAGAATACATTCTTCTCAAGCATGGTAAGACCATATTTTAGGCCACAAAACAATCCTTAATACATTTTAAATTACTGAAATTCAGCAAAGTATGTTCTCCAACCAAAAGAGAATAAAATTAAAATCAATAACAGAAGGACATTCAGTGGACTCACAATTATGTGGAAATCAAACAACACACTCCCAAATAACCAGTGGTCAAAGACAAAATCACAAAGGAAATTAGAAAATAAAGATAAATGAAAATGACAACACAATGTACCAAAACTTATGGCATGTAGATAAGCAGTGCTTAGAGGGAAATCTATAGCTTTAAATGCATCTATTAAAAAAGAAGAAATATGTCAAATCAGGAAACTAACCTACCTTAACAAACTGGAAAAAGAAGAGCAAGCAGCAGGAAGGGAATAATGAATGAAATAGAGAATAGGAAAAGTAGAGAAAAATCAACAAAATCAAAAGTTGGTTCCCTGAAAAGAACAAAATTCACAAGCCTTTAGCTAGACTGACTAAGGAAAAAGAAAAGACTCAAATATTAAAATCAGAAATGGGAGGGCTGGCCCCATGGCTGAGCTTTGGTTAAGTTCGTGCACTCCGCTTCGGCAGCCCAGGATTTTGCTGGTTCATATCCTGGGTGTGGACATGGCACCACTCATCAAGCCATGCTGAGGCAGTGTCCCACATAGCACAACCAGAAGGATCTACAACTAGAATATACAACTATGTACTGGGGGGCTTTGGGGAGAAGAACAAGAAGAAAAAGAAAGACTGGCAACGCATGTTAGCTCAGGTGCCAATCTTTAAAAAAAAAAGAAAAGAAAAAAGAAATGAAAGAGTGGATATCACCACTGAATTTAGAGAAAGAAAAAGGAGTTTAAGGGAATGCTATGAACAGCTAAATGCCAACAAATGAGATAACTTTGATGAAATTGACTCAAGAAGAATTTAAAAATCTGAATAGATCTGTAACAAGAGAGTAAACTAGTAATCAAAACCTTCTCACAAAAAAAAGCTCAGGCTCAGACAGCTTGAAAGGTCAATTCTACCAAACATTTAGACAATACCAATTCTTCACAAACTCTTCCAAAAATCTGAAGAAGCGTGAACACTTCTCAGTTCACTCTATGAGGCCAGTCTTACCAAGATATCAAAACCAGACAAAGACATCACAAGAAAACTATAGACTAATAACTCTCATGACTATAGATGCAAACATCTCCCAGAAATATTAGCAATCTGATTCTGGCAACATATAAAAAGGATTATACAAAATAAGCAAATGAGATTCATCCCTTGACTGCAAAGTTAAACACGCAAAAATCAATCAATGTAACAAGTAACACTCAATACACTAGGAATAGAAGTGAATTTCCTGACCTAATAAAGAGCATCTATGAAAAACCTACAACTAACATCATACTTAACAGTCAAAGATTGAATGCTTCCCCCTAAGATCAGGAACAAGAAAAGGATGCCTGCTCTCACCTCTTCTATTCAACATTGTATCAAAGGTTCTAGCCAGGGTAACTGAGTGGAAAAAAAGAAATAAAAAGCATCAGATTGGAAAGAAAGAACTAAAACCACCTCTATTCACAGATGGCATGATCTTGTATATAGAAAATCCTAAGTAATCCACTAAAAAACTATTTGAACTAATAAACAAAATCAGCAAGGTTGCATGGTACAAGATCAATATATAAAAATCAATTGTATTTCTTATACCCCGGCAATAAACAATCTGAAAATGACATTAAGAAAACAATTCCCTTTAAAATAGCATCAAAAATAATGAAATACTTAGAAATAAATTTAATAAAAGAAGTGGAAAACTTGTATTCGGAAAAACTAGGAAAGAGTGAAAATCTAAATAAATGGAAAGAAATCTCATGTTTATAGATCAGGAGATTTAATAAGATGGCAACACTCCCCAAATTGATCTATGGATTTAATGAAATACCAAAATCATAACTGATCTGCTGAGACTGACAAGATGAATGCTAAAATTCATAATGGAAATTTAAGAACCCAGAATAACCAAAACAATCTTGTAAAAGAACAAAAGTGGAGGACTCCCATTTCTTGGTTTCAAATCTTACTAAAAAGCTACAATAATCAAGGCAGTATGGTACCAGCATAAAAACAGATATATAGATCAATGAAATAGAATTAAGAGTCCAGAAATAAACATATTATGGTCAACTGATTTTTTTACAAGACTGGCAAAAAAATTCAATAGGGGAAAGAATAGTCTTTTCAATAAATGGTATTGGGACAACTGAACATCCACACACAAAAGAATGAAGTTGGACCCCTACATTGCATCATCCACAAGAATTCATCAAAGCAGATCACAGAACTAAATGTAAGAGCTAAGCTATAACACACTTAGAAGAAAATATAGTTAGGTTCAGATGTTATTTAAACAAGGCTATCTAGGGAAACTCAAAGAGAACAAGGGGAGACAAAAACAAGGACACCAGAGAAAAGGTTAGCCTCTGACACCTACAGCTACAGTAAACACTAAAAACAGCCTCTTAGCCAGATAAAAAAACTCACAGTATTTAACTCAATTTCTTTTATCCAGTGCATCCTGTCTAGCTTTCAACAAAAAATTAAAAACCAAGCTAAAAATAATTTGAAGAGACAGAGCAGGCATCACAACCAGACTAAAATATAACACAGATATTGAAATTATCCAACCATAAATTTAAAATAACTATGATTAATAAGCTAAGGGCTCTAATGGAAAAAGCAAACAATGTGTAAGAGCAGACGGGTAACACAAGCAGAGAGATGGAAACTCTAAGAAAGAATCAAAAGGGAATACTATAAATCAAAACCACTGAAACAGAAATGAACAATGCATTTAATGAGCTCATTGGTAGACCGGATATGGGTTGAGAAGAGAATTACTTAGTTTGAAGATATGTCAATAGGAACTTCCAAAACTGAAAAGCAAAGAGAAAGAAGAATTAAAAAACAACAAAAACAGAATATCCAAGAACTGTGGAACACTTACCTTATACAAAGGTATAACATATGCATAATGGGAATATCAGAAGGAGAAGAAAGAGAGGAACAGAAGAAATAATTGAAGTAGTAATAACCGAGAATTTTCCAAAATTAATGACAGAACCAAACCACAGATCCAGGAAGCTCAGAAAACACCAAGCAGGAAGAATACCAAAAATTCTACACCTAGCTATATTCAAACTGCAGAGAATCAAAGACAAAAAAAATCTTGAAAGAAGCCAAAGAAAAAAACATCCCACCTCTAGAGAAATAAGAGTAAGAATTACATCAGACCTCTTCAGAAACCATGCAAGTAAGAAGACAGTGGAGTAAAACAGTAAGTCCTACAGTATTCCCTTTGGATTAGAAACCATGTTCAATAAGATATTTGCTGTTCCAGATATTTCCTTCTTTGGACGTTCACAGGAGAGTCAATTAAAAAATTATAGAGAAAACAAGAACCGAGAGATTACGATAATGACTCTCAAATTTAAGTGTACATAATAGTCATGTGGGAACTTTGTTAAAAATATAGATTCCTAGAATCCATTCCCAAAAAATTTTATTAAGTCTGAGTTAGTGTCTGGAATCTGCTCTTTGTTTTTATTTTCTGACAAGCAGTCCAAGTAATCTAGATGTTAGTCTTCTATGGGCACCTAACAGTCCCTGGAACAACTATGAAAGGGCCACAGATCACAGTGACCTATGGTTCCTTATGGGATCTACTTGCTATATAAGAAATGCTCAAGAGCATGTGTATTTAAGCTAACCAGTATTATCCTACTGATAAAAAACAATCTCGATCAGAATTCCTTCTAACTCACAAGCTGAACCAGCCCTTGATTATCAACATACTGAACCAACCCTCGTCTTGATGGGCTACTGAGAAAGAAGATGAAAATACAGGGACTAGGTGAAGAAATCTGGGTCAGCTGGTTCATGAACAGTCAAAAGAGCAGATAGGTAGAATCATTACGCTCTGCCCCCTTCCCCTCGGCCAAGGACGTCCATGTCCTAACCCCTGGAACCTGAGAATAGGCTATTCTGCATGACAAAAGGGAATTAAAGTTGCAGACGGAACTAGGGCTGCTAATCACCTGATTTTAAAATAAAGAAATTATCCTGGATTACCCAGCAGGTCCAATGTAATCACAAGCGTCCTTTAAATGTACAATAGAGAGGAGGAAGGTCAGAGTCTAGACTGCTTCATTCCTGGTTTTCAAGATGGAAGGGGACCATGAGTCAAGGAATGAGGCAGACTCTAGAAGGTGGAAAAGGCAAGGAAATACATTCTCCTCTAAAGCCTCCAGAAAGAATGCAATGCTGTCACACCTTGGTTTTAGCCCAGTGAGACCCATTTGAGACTTCTGATCTGCAGAACTGCAAGATAACACATTTGTCTTGTTTTAAAGCACCACGTTCGTGGTCATTTGTTACAGCAGCAATAGGAAACTAACACACATGCTAACGAACTACCTGCCTAAAAAGAAACCAGATTTTTCTTACCTATATCCATTGGTCGTTCTGTATTTAAACTATCCGTGCTCCCTTGATGTCCACCTAAAGGCGTCTTTACTTGTTGATCTGATAATTTCCCAGTACTGACAGATCTAAAAAGAAGAGTGATGTTAATAATAGAAAAGTATACTTTAAAAAAATCCAGACATTTAAATAATAAGGGTGATTTAAGCCAAGTCATAAAAGGGTTAATGGGAAGTCAGAGAATAAGGAGACAAAAATAGATACCAAACAATTCAAAGTAGAGATAAACTTCAATAACCAAAATAAACAAAAGGCAGAAATAGAATGTTCAGGAAATTCAGGAAGAGCTCTTTATTTACAGAGTTACAGGAAGCATCTATGGTTTTCAGAGATTCTAAATGTATACAGTTCATATCGTTAACCATGTGGCATAAACCAGCTACTAGGCTAATTTGGTCTGGCTGTTTTTGTAATAAAAACATATGTACTGTCACAGTTTTCGTGTTTAAGGCTGGAAGGAACTGGCATCTTTTACCTGCCAAACACTGCCTTGTTCTGCTGCTCAGGCTTCTGCCTCTCACTTCCTTGCACTAAGAGACAATGAGAGCATTCCCGCGGGTCATTCTCATCTTTAGATTGCTCTTCAGAAGGCCCATGACGAGTAACCAAGGCTAGCAGGTTGGAAGATGCTTGCGTTTTAGGGATTTTGAAAGGAGCCGTGGTCTAAAGAAACATGTAAGCTAGTTATTATGATGTAAGCAGCACTCAGAATTGTCAGGCCACGTGGCACAGTAGTCAGAAGCATAGACTTCAGAGTCCATCAGACCTGGATTCAAATACCGGCTCTTCTACTTGCAACCTCTGTAACCTTGGACAGTGCATTTATACTCTCTGAGCCTCAATTTCCTTTTTTCAGGATTAAATGGGATAACGAATATAAAGCATTCGGCAAGTAAAGGACTTACACTGTGCCTGGAGCATACCAAGTGGTCATTTGTTACAGCAGCAACAGGAAACTAATGCACATGCTAACAAATTGCCTGCTAAAAAGAAACCAGATTTTCCATACCTATATCCATAAGTCAATCTGAATTTAAACTGTCTGTGCTACCCTGATGTCTGCCTAAAGATGTCTTCATAACTAAATTGTAGCTATTCTCATCATGGATCCTTTCCATAAGGTACTTACTATACCAGTTCATGAGCTACTGTCAAGCGTTAAGCTGCACTACTCCAGGGTATTACTGCCTCTGCATCCATTTTTTGTGGCCAAGCAGCCTGCAGGGACCTTAAGCTGACACTAGCCCTCATGAAAGCACATGCCCTAGATAGCAGCCCCCACAGCAAAACTAAGTTCCGGATATGACTTCCCCAACAGCCCTGGTGACTGACAGACTCCTCCAGCTCTCAGGGCCTTCCCCCTGTGCCTTTAGATATGATCCCTGTGGAGCTTACCAGAACTCCACTCTTTCAGTTTGAATTGAACAATCTGGCCTTAGCTCAGGAACCCCAAAGCACTCCACCCACGGACCCTAAAAACAGCATGTGCCCCAGGTCCTGTCTCTCTGTCTGAGCTCTGCCTTGACATCCCTGTGTGGCGCCTTGAAGCATGCGGGTACTTCCTCCAGGACATGTGAGTAATAGACTTCTCTGTTTCAACTTGTCCTGTGGTCTGTTGTTGAACCTCTGCTCACCATCCAGCACCCTGCGTTCCACTTAACAAATATTAATTTAACAAAGTTATTACACCTACAAAAGAGTTTAATAAACACACCTTAGTAGGAGAGCCAATAATTGTTGGTAATGGAGTTTTAAAGAACCAGTCAGAACTCCGCGGAGAGGACCCCATGTGCTTGGTGGGAGAGGTCCCAAGGCTGCCAGGCCGACTGGGCTGAGGTGAGTAGCTGTACCCAGCCCCGGCATGGGATGGGCACACGGGGTCAGAGTGCTGCTTTCTAAGCTTCTGCTTGTTCTGGTAGATGTCAGTGAGGGTGGGGGCGCTCTGTAGTCTAGCACCCAACAGGAGAGGCTGTGGGGACTGAGCCTGTGGCACTGGAGAACCTACAAGAAAATGGATGCCATGTCATCCCAGAGTGAAGAAGTACCGGGCGAAAATTTAAGAATTAGGAAGACAATTCTTAAAATGAGAATTCTAATGAACATCTTGTTTTTCATGAGATATTCTACAAGTTGTTTACTTGGCAATAGACTATTTGTTGGCATCCTTTACAAAACAGTGACAAGTCACTGTTGTTGGCATTCTCAAGAGACAGAAGTTGATGATATACGGTATACTATCTGTTTTTATCAGCAGCTATCAAATAACTCAGATTAATGCAAGGTCTATTTGCCACCAAAGACAACTATACAGTAAATGGCTAAAGTTAATGAAAACAATAAAAATCTGTGCTGAACAAGATGATTTCTACTCTTTATATGAAAACATACTTGGGTATATCAATGTAATCATTCTCACAACAACTAAAAGAACTTTCCAAACTAACCCAGAATGACCCCTCTTCAAAATATATATATAATGTAAGAAAGAAAATTAGAAAGATAATACACCTTTCCTGGATTTTATTTATATATCTAAAAATAACAAGCATTTTAATAAATTTATGTCAACTTCATTAACGAAATTCATTTAAAACCTGAAGTATCCATATTCTCTACAAAGGAAACACTTGTCCAACCACAGATATTCTTGCCTCTTAAGGGGACACTATATCAAGAGCCTGGGAGACAGGGTCTTGATACGGTGAACAGTTGGCAACTAAGGGAATTCTCCCACACAAACCTTGTTGCCAACTTAAGGTCCACGAAGCCCTGAGCTCCAGTGACAAATTCTTTGGAGCTTCTTGCAAGCCAGACTACCACCAATAATGTTAAGGACATACAGATCTTCTTAGTGACCTATAACCATCAGCCTTCCAAAAGCAGCACCAATGAGAGCTTTTGCTACCAATCACTCCTGGCTTAATCTCATCCTAAATCTGGTATTTAAGTTTTCAGAACTGGGTTCTGCCACACTTATATATATACGTATATGTATATATTTGTGTGTGTCTGTGTGTGTGTATATATATATGTATACGTATATGTGTGCGTGTGTGTATATATACACACACAAATGAAATTAGTGGCATACACACACAAATGAAATTAGTGGCAAAATGCTATGATCTGGAGAAAGTTATCTAAGCTTCATTTTTAAGGAAACACAAAATATGAAAAACTAAACTTAGGAAAGAGTGCTTTTATAAAGTAACACAGGATTCCTTTAACTAGCCAACTCCTCAAATGCACATACACTAAGATTTGACTTATAAAAGTATGAATTACACATATCTTTTCAGATTTATACACATTATATAATAAAGTAAATATATTTCTTTTTTATCTGATGCTAACTGGCAGTTCTTATCAAGAATAGTATTAATCAAAGTAATGAAATCTCATTTTCTAGATTGATTTTTATTATCTGTGTCAATGACCAAACTTTAGCTAAGTTACTTAATTCTTAAGACCTACTTTCATAAAAGAATCATATATCCAAAAGGAGATATCTGATTGGCTATATGAAATGCTAAAATATATTAGACCAAGATTCTAAAAAACAATAGAGAAAATATTTCATATCATTCTGTTCTTTTGATGAGTCTAGAAAAACTTAACTCAAATCCACTTATAACAGGATTAAAAATATTAACATACCAAATGCATCTCCTACCTGACGAGTTTCTACTCCTGGATTCATGGCCCTGAGGATGCCCACAGCAACACTGACTCAACTGCTCAGGAATGGTACCAACTATGAAGAGGGAAATGGGGAAAGGAAGGAGAAAAGATTCAAATCCAATAAAAGATGGAAACAGGCAACACATACACAAAATTGCATAGTACATTATAGTTTAAAAAATCTAATTAGCAAAGATCTAGTTCAGCTAACACTTACCGAGCAACCAATGTGCTGGGTGCTGGGCACACTAAGATCAAAAGTATCGCACAATCTGCCTTCAAACAAGAGTAACTGGAAAGAAAGCCATGTAAACAAATCGATGCCTGTAACAGGTATGTCTTTAAGACAGAGAAGTACAAAGAGTTTGCACAAAGTGTTTGGGGCTTGTGGAGCCGCAGGGGCACAGCTGACTGACAGCCCTGCTGCTGTCCCTCTGGATCCACACGCTCCTGCTGAGGTGTGCTCCCAAGGGCTGCTCCTAGCTGATGACTGTGTGTGGACGATGCACTAACTCAGGCTGCTTCGAGCAGGACAACTTAGCGCTTGGGAACACTCCTTCAGCCTTGCTAAAACCTTCTGGAACTCACTATAGTCAAGACTCCTCTGGCCCACTCCTCCTTCCTTCCCCTGTCTCTTATAGGGTCAGACTTGCATGGAGGTCTGAAGTGACTCGCTGCCGACTCCCGTTTCCTCCTTTTTATTCATCACAGGTGTCTCCCCAATCACCCTCTTGCACATCTTCTTTGCATCTACCTCTGAGAACCCAAACTAACAAGAGGGAGAGAGTTGGGAAGGCTTCAAGGAGTTTAAGCAGACAGGAGACACATGTCTACAAAAAAGAAGAGGCACTGACCAAGTGGTTGGGCAGGCAGGCAACAATGAGATCCTGAGGAAGGGCCTTCTCCTTGAGTGCAAGGATAAGGACCTTGTCTCTGGAGACCTTGGAGAGCCTCAGGGGCTGCTGGGGGTTGAGGGAGGGTCAAGATTTTATTGGAAGTAGTTTGTTCAGCTAAAAATAGCTTCAAAATCATTGCAACAGGTGAGGTGGTAATATAAACTTTTTTTAAAACACTATCATTGTGATTTTTCTTTTTTTTTTCAATCAAGGCTCCTGGCCACTACTTCAATCCTTCCTCCTCTGCCTCCCTCCTGAGATTTCTTCCCATTCCCTTTTAGTCCTACGCCAGCAGTTTTGACTGAGGATAGGGGTCCGCTCCTTTGGAAGTAAATATATGTATATAATTTTTTTTTTCCCCCAATTTTGAGATCTGCCACCACTGGGCCTTCTCTGTGCCCCCTGTTCTTCCCCAGCACACCAATGCTGTTCCTCACAGGTGCTGCAATCCAGTTGCTTTGGCCTTTCTTACATGTATTCTGACACTGGAGCATTTTCTTTGTCTTTTTGTTTCACTAAACATGTGGTTTGAGGTTTGTTTTTCCATTTGGCTGGGTTTTTGTTGTTGCTGTGGTTTTATGGTTTGCGTTTGTTTTAGCATTCTCCTTGTTGCTGTATATGGTATGGGGAGAGGTGGGAGCATCTGTAATGAAGCTGCCACCACATGCCTCCTGGACCTGAAAGGCCTCTGGTGAATGTACCCAGTGGTGTTATGTACACTATTGTCTTCTGATCCTCATAAATCTGAGTGCCATGCAGGGTAGGCATTTTATGTTCTTTAACCTAGCATTTCTGATTTTGTGTTTGAAGTCCAAACCCAACGGAGACGCTTTTTAGCCATAAAATCTATTTACATTATTTTATTTCCATTAGAGGTCCTAACAAATTTCTATAGCGATTCTTAAGAGGGAGTTAGCAAGGTAGAGTTGGAGGGGTGGAAATGGCTCCCAAGCAGCTGAGACTCACTGCCATCCTGAGCCAAAGTTCCTAAAGAGAACGCCATATCAGATTTGTCATAGTGAAAAAAGGTTGAAAACAACCGCTTTAAACTCTCCTTACCCAAAGGGGATGGTGAGTAAGGCCTGGAAGACCCAGTAGAGAGTCTTCGTCCAACTGTCTGTACTGTGTCTGCCGGTGCCGGGGAGCAGGATCCCAGCCGGAGGAAGCCCATCGGGCTGGTGTTAGACCTTCGTACCACCGTAGATCTGAAAAGAAAAAGAAAATTATTCCCTCTTTGACAGGTTCTAGAACTCTCTATTTATTTCTGTCTTTAAAAAAAAATTTCCAAATAACATGCCATGGAGTAGATTTTTAAAAAATATGTAACATAGTCATGTGGAACAACAACAACAAAATGAATGAAAATATATAGAGTGAAGTCTCCCTTCCCATCCTTGTATCCTACCTGCCTAATTCCCAACACTTCTTCAATCCTACTCAAAGGGTTACCACCATTTTACCATTTTTAGTTTCTAATGTATCCTTCGAGAGCTCCTTAATTCAGATAGACCAAACAAACTGAATACATAATCTTATTTTCATCTTGTTTTAACAAAGGTAATATATACCATACCAACTACTTTCAATTTTGTTGGTCTTGGGTCCTCTTTATAGTCTTAAAATTACTGAAGATTCCTGAGGGTTTTTGCGTATGCCATGTGGTAGCAGTATCCCACACACAAGAACTAGAAGGACTTACAACAGACATACAACATGTGCTGGGGCTTTGGGGAGAAAAGGAAAAAATAAAGAGGAAGATTGGCAACAGATGTTAGCTGAGGACCAATCTTAAAATATATACATATATATCACCACCAATCTTAACAGAAATGGCTGTCAAGAGGTAACCGAAGCTATCAAGATCACAGTAGTGAATATAAGTTTTCCAAAATTCTAAATTTTGCTCAAGACAAGAGCTCAAATTTTATGTCACTATAGTTTTCTATGAAGTGACAGACTGACTTAGTTCATCTTCAGCAAAATGGCTGCTAAATACCCATAACCATAGTTTGTCAGTTGTTAAGTAAAAATGGTATTCCATGAAAAAAGTGGCTAGTTTAGCTTGCAATAAAACAATCATACAAGTGCTTTTCCTTAAGAGAACTCCTTCAACGTGCAGCAAAAGTGCTTTATGCCTACATTCCACTCAAGGTCAAGATTTTCAAAGAAAAATAATAATTTTTATTGCTTCATTAAAGACAGTCCTTGGTCCTGCAAGTGTGTGGTGGTAAAGAATACAAAGACTAACAGTACAATTGGGTGCCACTCCCCTGACGCATTTTAAGGCATGAGCAGTTTTGCCATCATTGCTTTTGCACTCTCAGCGCAAATGTCAAGACAGTGAAAAAAGCAAACAGTACCTAGTATTATTATGAAAACAGTTTTGACCTCATGGACCCTCTGAAAGGGAGCCATAGACCACGCTTTGAGAACCACTGCTAATACACTGTTAAGCACTTCGCTTTTTTCCTTTTATAATATACCCTGGAAATTCTTCTACCTCAGGACATGGAGAGCTTCTTTACTCTTTTGGAAGGTGTTCCATTGTCACAGACAGACCATAATAAATCAGTCCCTTACTAGTGGGAACTGGGCTTATTTCTCATCCTTTCCTATTAGAAGAATTAACTTTATATGCATGCAATTTCATACACAGGCAAGGATGGTATATCTGTAGAATAAGTTACCAGAAGTTGAAATGCTGGGTCAAAAGATATATACATTAATAATTTTCATAGATATTGCCAAAATGCCCTTTGTAGAAGTTTTCTCAATTATATCCTACAAGATCATGAGGATCTTTTTCTATTCATTGAGCTATTCATTTGGTGGGCCCTATAATCTAAAATCTTATATCCTCCAATTCTGGAAAATTTTTTCTTGATTATTTCCTAGAAATTTTCTTCCTCAACATTTTACTTGTTCTCTCTGGAATGCCTATATTAATTAATCCTTGAAGAATTTTTTTCATTCATATTTTCCATCTTCTTTATTTGATTCACCTATTTCAGATACTTCCCCAACTTTGTCTTCCAACATTTATTTTATTTTTATTTTTTTTTAAAGATTTTATTTTTCCCTTTTTTCCCCCAAAGACCCCCAGTACATAGTTGTGTATTTTTAGTTGTGGGTCCTTCTAGTTGTGGCATGTGGGATGTCACCTCAGCATGGCCTGACGAGCAGTGCCATGTCCATGCCCAGGATTCGAACCAGCGAAACCCTAGGCCACCGAAGCAGAGCGCAGGGACTCAACCATGGGGCCAGCCCCCCCAACATTTATTTTTATTTATTTCAGTTACTATATTTTGTAATGTCCAAGAGGTGTTTTTTATTTTAATGGTTTTCAATAGCATTCTGTTTTCTGGGGGAGGTTTTTTGGTGAGGAATATTGGCCCTGAGCTAACATCTGTTACCATTCTCCCTGTTTTTTTTTTTTTCCTCCTCAAAGCCCTGCTCCATAGTTGTAAGTCCTTCTAGTTCTTCTATATAGGATGCCGCCACAGCACAGCTTGATAAGCAGTGGCTAAGTTCGTGCCCAGGATCTGAACCAGCAAACCCCGGGCCACCAAAGTAAAGCACGTGAACTTAACCACTCGGCCACCAGGCCAGCCTCAGCATTCTGTTCTCATTTATGGACGCAGTCTCTAACCTATCTCCAAGGGTACTAATTTTTTAAATAAGTTTTATTTTCTTTGGATTTTTGCTATTTCCTCCAGATTCAGTTTTCCTGTTTTTTAGCCTTATGCCTCCATCCTTCCACTCTACCTGAGTTCTCTGAGATTTAAGTCTCTGAGGGTACAGTCACTCTCATCTTGTCAGAATCTCTGACTGCATGCACACTTATACCTGCCCTGATACACCAGGCATCCCTCTTCCAGAAATTTACTGAAATCTCTCATCCACTGAACACTTATTCTTATTTTACTTGTCTTTGTGGACTTATACCTTTGTCATTCCTTTACTACCTTAGCGTGGTTTCAGGATGTGGAAGAAATAAATAATATGGAAATAATCTGCTACAATTGGAGAGATTTCATTTTTTAACAATTTCTTCCTCTCTTCTTAAAAATAATTACATGTGTGGACAAATATATACATATCATGCTATGTTATCCAGCCAAGCTCAAATATCATTTAAATAAATGCATTACAAGTTTTTTTTATTATTCAATTTTGTACACCTCTACTATACACATATGTAAGAGACTAAGCCGACCATGGAAAGTAACAACAACAACATTGTTAAAAGAAAAGAAAAACAATTAAGAAAGGAAAAAATACTAGCTTACCTTGGAGAACCATGCAGATTTGTGCCAGAGCTGGCAGCAGATGTAAGATTCTGCTCGATGCGCTGATAATTCCTTATCTGAGTAGGAACTGGAATTGGTGCTGCTTCACTGTGAGGTGACACAGTAGGCTGACACTGCCTGCAACCATAATTTATTGAAAAAGGAAAGAAATCCAAGTAAGACCCTTTTTCTTTCATTTGACTCGTTGGTGATATTTAAAGAAAAAGACAGAAAAAGCCAAATGATCACTCTTGTATTTGAAAAGAAATGATCATCTTAAAATATATCTATAAAGCCAAAAAATCATACCTCTCATTTAAAGAACTCTTCTGGCATTCATATGCATATCAAGGACTAAGAATTGTAACAAGAAACTAGAAAAATATTTCTCTACAACAATAGGTCAGCAAAACTCAGTTTCCGCCCACAATCTGCTATTCGTTACTGTGTGAGAGAAAAAAATATTTCTAGGAAAATACGCTGGGTAAAAGAACAGGAAGTTCAAGAGCAAAGATGACTGGAATGTTTACAAAAGTTATGAATGCAGTAAACGTTCCCAAGGAACTCTGACTTTTATGAAGATTGAAAGATACATTGCGCAACTCTCATAGCATATTACTGATCTGAGGTCCACATTTTGAAGTGTTAGTATTTGGTTTAATAGCCTCTTTCCTTGCTTTTCATAATTTCAGAAATAGTATATCCTTAGATGACTTCAATTCAATTTACAACATATCTTGAAAGATCAGGGACATTACTGCCCTTAAGAAAGATGACTCATTTCATTCTTCTGCCCTTCTATAATTCTAAAACAGCCACACAAATCTCCCACTCTTTCCCAATTACAATATTACAGATATAAACAAATTATATATTTACTTATCCAAACAAACAATATGATTATCTTCTAAAGCACCACTTTAGAACTTTTTGAACTATTAGAACTACCAGAGTATTTCTTTTTTTTCTTCTTCTCCTCCTCTCCATAGCCCCCCAGTGCATAGTTGCGTATTCTAGTTGTAGGTCCTTCTAGTTGTGCTATGTGGGACGCCGCCTCAGCATGCCCTGATGAGCAGTGCCATGTCCCACCCAGGATCCGAACCAACAAAACCCCGGGCCACCGAAGCAGCCCGGGCCAGCCCGTTTCATATTTAAATGAAAAGAAAATCTTAGCTGTAGCAGAGATGTTAGCTGCTTTCCCAATATTTATTCACCCATTGTTTCTTACTAACAGAACTCAAATTTTATGGAAGGTTAGTGATTCATCCAGTTAAATTATGATATATCCCAGACACCCTTGCAGCCATGAGTAGTCATATGTCTTTCTTTGTCAATGAGATCTAAGTGGAAGTCTTCTATTCATTCTTCCTCCTTCCTCCCACCTGGAACGTGGGTATGCCTGCTGGAGTTTCAACAGCTACCTTGGAACCACAAAGAAAAGGCCAAAAGAACTGGAGACACAATTTCCTTGAGCCACAGAAACAAAAGCAACAACTATTTATCTTGACTTCTCTTCATGCAAGAAAACTAAACCTTTAGTGTTCAACTACACTATGGTTAGCCACCCTGTTGTTTATAGCCAAGTGGAATTTGTCACTCATACACCATTTAGTGTGCTTCTATAAGCTCTCTATTTTTCCTTTAGGTAATTCCATTAAGTATCCTTTAAATACAATGATTTATGTTTTTAATATCTATAGATCTGATTATGAAGTTAATCTACAACCTGAAAACAAATCAAAACAAAACAACTTCTACTACTCAAAACTAAACAGCTTTACAAGACTTCGCTAACCAACTGAGGTACCTGCAACCCAGTGCACACACAGGCCCAACAACCTAAGTTCCTCAGTAACAGAACAACCAGCACAGCCATCAAATATCAGAATATGGATGAACAAATGCCATCTTTCACTGTCTCAACTTAATGAGTAAATAAAGAGTTGATGAAGCAAGTACATCTTGGAAATTTTTTTAACTTATACATTGTCAAGTTCTAATATTTTTCCTGTACTTGTTAATCAACACAGGGAAGTTAAGAAGTTGGACAAAGGTACTCTAAGAAGTAAACTTAGCAACCTCATAATTCAAAGCACCTCTCTCAAGGAATCCTAAGCAACCAGCTGGCTTCTCTAATGACTCTGGCTTCCCCATACACCCAGCGTATCAGATGAATAGCCACGGCAGGCGTCCTGTAAATGTTGTCTCAGAATCTCTGGACAGGACCTTCAAGCAGGCTTGCTCAGTCCAGAAAGTCTTCCCTGGACAAATTCCAAGAGCTCCAGCTTGCTAAGACCACTGCAGCCAATTCTCTGTCTAGCTTTATATTAACAGCGATATTTAACCATTACCCAACTCCCTAAGCCCAAGGTGAGGAAAAGGAAGGTCTATGTATGCCCTGAGTCTCCAGCATGTCCTCCTCACCTCCACTAGGTCCTGCAGTTCAGAGGATTCTCTGTGGAAAGTCATCTTTGCCCTGCATGTAAGACTAAGCATTTGCCCACGTCGTAACACAATCATACGTCGTTCTATCTATCTTCTCCCACAAATACAAAAGGACAACTAAAAGACTAGATTGCACGACAGCTTCTTCAAATTCACAATCTTTACAACAGGAGAGTCCCAATCATTCCCTCTGATTTAGGAAGACTCCATGAGACAACCCCAAGAGGTTAACAAGTGACTGGATGGCAGGACACAGCTGGAATGTAATACCAAGACGGAGAGTGAGAAGAGGGAAGGATCTATGCACACACGAGTTCCCAGGAAGCCCAATCCCTGCACCACGTGCTGAGCCACAGCTGTGAGCTCAAGCTCACAGGGCAGCACCAAGTGAGAGGGAGCAACAAAGACTGAAGGGCCTAGCCTAGTATACAGGCCCATGGCTGCAGATGGAAAGGTGACAGGTCCAGCAAGAAAGGGGTCAGCGTCTGTGAGAAGCCATCACAGAAGTAGGAATCCACTCAGAGAAGACACACCCCAATGCACCACAGACTGTGCACACAGTTGGCCTACATCAATGGCTGGTAACAATTAGTCTTCTAAATTCTGATAACCTAAAACTAAAAAAAAAAAGCAAACAACGAAGAAAAAGAAAAAATACATATATAGAAAAAGAAAAAAATTCTTTAAACATTAAAAAAATGCAATATCCTAACTCCTATGGCTGTGCCTACTTTCCGTCTGGGTGGACAAGGAATGGATATTACACTCCCTGCATGTACTGGAGACTGTCATATGGGTACTGAAAGAACTAGCACTAAGAAGAGTTTCTTTAGGTGAAAATGCACTTATCGGTGAAGGAAAGAAAAGTTAAAGAATTATACCATAGGAAGAGAAGCTGAGAAAGGAGCCAAAGACTACTCAAGAAGAAAACACAGCAGCAAATCAAAAGAAGTGAAAACATGGAAACATACAATTCCTATATTTAAAACACATCTGCAAAGAAAGGTAGCAAACAAGTCTGTACAGATGTGCTTATCCCCATGGTTCCTCAACCATGCACGAGGGACTCCAGGGGGCCCCTGCTGCTCAAACGGTGCCTGGAGGACATTAAACTGTCTAAGTAAACACACTGACACTTTGAAAACTACCACCACCAACAGAAACTAAAACTGCTGTTAAGTTGTTCAGGCTGAACTACGTAACCAATGGAACTGTTAGGTATTTCCATTAGCATAGAGGCATCACCAAACATTACTGAGACACTAAGAGAACTTCCGGCTTTAGACATTTTACTGATAAACGACCACATAGTTCCAAAATTCCTGGTCCAAAATTGGATTTTTTTCCATAGCATTTTATTGTTTTTCCTATAAAAAAAATTCCTTCAAAGTGCTAAAATGCATCGACACTGTTAAGGAGCAGTCCAGCAAGATCTGACAAGTCTTTGGCAAGCTTTCACAAGTAACCTGGTAGGCACGTACTATCCAGCTGACATTCAATGAAAGATCAGGAAACTAGGCAATAATGTCAAGAAGTATAACTTTCTAAACCTGTTTTAGAGACAGACAAAATGAAAACCTCAAGAGAGTTGGTACTAACTCGGGCATTTCACTATTAATATATCTAAGAAAAATAAAAGATTCATTTAAGTGTGGCTCACAATAGTGTCTAATTATCTTTGACACCACACTGTAAATTCACTCAAACTCTTAACCTAAGCAACGCTTTCCTGAAAAGGCAGACTAAATTTGTGCCCAGAAATGCCAAAGGAGCACAGGCCAAAAACTTGAGATCCTAAGACTTTAAGAGGTTTTTGTTAACATCAAACAACATGTACATATAGTTCCCTCAATATATGTTCCCTAATGGATGCTAGAAAGTAAAATTCTATATCCTGAGTCTTATTTTTCTAGTATATTCTTATAAGACTAGATTTAGTTTTCCAAGAAGATTTCTGATCTTTAGAAAAAAATTACTCATTTCAATATAATAAAACATTTCAAAGTAATTTCAATAAAAGTGAGGTAAATATACTACTAAAATTACAGGGTAAATCATATGAAATGATAGCACTGGGATATGGAGATATGAAATCTTAATGGCTCCACAAAGAATAAGCTTTCCACCTGCATCAAACCATTTTAATTTTGCATTCAGCTGTGGAAATTAATAAACAGAAACCTCATTAAATTGGAGTTGGGAAGCCAAAAGTGGGAGCTCTCAGGCCCTACGTCGACGGAAAAGATCAACAGGAAAAAGAAAGACTTCCTCTTCTTGACTGGAAAGAAGCTCAGCCAGTGAGAGACTGTCACAACGCAGCCAGTGAAAAGCCAGTACACTACAACTCTCTGTTTCCAACAGCTCTGCCAACTTCCTCTTCCCCTCTATAGAGTTTCTGCTCCCTTGCTGCTGGGAAACTCGTATGTGGCTCACCATGGTTGCAGACCTCGAACTGCAATTCTTTGCTGATCCCATATAAACCCATTTTTGCTGGACAAACAACTAGCTGTCTACTTGTTTAAGGTCAACAGCATAATTTTTAGTATTCTTTTTATATTTCTGTTTTCACTGCACTTAGTATCTTGTGATAGAGTGTATTATTTTTTTCCAAATATTCATGACCTCTCCCTGGACTCATTTTTACACTCCCTAGTGTACTCCCAGCCACAACGCCTGGGAAGCAGGTTGAAAGAGCAGCTCCCATTTGGGACATGCTGTTGTCAAAGCAGAAGGAAATAGTCTGATGACAGAACAGAAGCTTTCAGAGCCATTATGTAGTTCTGCCACCACTCTTTTTCCCTCCTTTGAGATGAGCATGTCTCAAATTCTTCTATAGAATCTAGGAGACAAAAGGACTCAAGAAAATCCTATAAATCTATCTTAATGGGTACACAATAAAGATGCAAATTGTGACACCAATAACATAAAGTGGAGGGGGCAGTATACTCCTATACTCTCTACAGGAGTAGAGTCTTGTATACAATTGAAGTTGTTATCAGTTTCAAATAGATTGTTATAACTTTCAGATATTTTATGGAATCTCAATGGTAACCACAAAGAATGTAGCTATAGAATAGACACAATAGGAAATGAGAAAAAAATTAAAGCACGTCACTACAAAAAAATCAACAAAACACAAAGGAGGGTGGTAAGAGAGGAAATGAGCAACAAAAAACCCCACAAGACATAACAGAAAAGCAACAAAACAGCAATAATAAACCTTTCTCTATTAGGCTGAAAGGGAGAGGATAGAAAAGATATTCCATGCAGATGGCAACCATAAGAGAGCAGGGGTTGCTACATTAGTGTCAGACAAAATAGACTTTCAGTCAAATACTGTTATGAGACAAAAAAGGACATTAAACAATGGTAAGAGGGCCAATTAACAAGGAAGATATAACAATTATAAATATTAATGCACCAAACATCAGCACTCCCAAATACATGAAGGAAATATTGACAGAATTCAAGGGAGAAACAGACAATTCTACAATAGTTAGAGACTTCAATATCCCACTTCTAATAATGGATAGAACAACCAGATGAAAGACCAATAAAAAAAAAAAAGTGGGCTTGGGCCCAGCCCGGTGGCATGGTGGTTAAGTTCAAGGGCTCTGCTTTGGCGGCCTGGGGTTCACAGGGTCAGATTCTAGGCCTGAACCTATACATCACTCGTCAAGCCACACTGTGGTGGCATCCCACACACAAAGTGAAGGAAGACTGGCACAGATTTTAGCTCAGCAACAATCTTCCTCAAGCAAAAAGCAGAAGATTGGCAACAGATGTTAGCTCAGGGCCAATCTTCCTCACCAAAAAAAAAAAAGAAAGAAAGAAGACTCAAAATCAGAAATGGAAGAAACGGATAAATTCATGAAGGAAAAGAAAATCTGAACAGACCCATAACTAGTAAAAAGATTGAATTGGTGATCTAAAACAACCCAACAAAGAAAAGCCCAGGACCAGATGGCTTCAACTGGTGAATTTTACCAAACTTTAAAAAAATTAACACCAACATTTGTCAAACTCTTCCAAAACATTAAAGATAACACTCCCAAACTCATTTCATGAGTTCAGCATTACCCTGATACCAAGATAAAGCAAGACATAGAGACTATAAGAAAACTTACAGAACAATATCCCTAGGTGAAGTTTGATGCAAAAATCCTCAACAAAATACTAGCAAACCAAATTCAAAAGCACACTAAAGGGATGATATACCACCACCAAATAGGAATTATAATACACCATATTAACAAAAAGAAGGGCAAAAACCACATCATCATCTCAATTGATGCAAAGCATTTGACACAATCCAACACTCTTTCATGATAAAAACACTCAAAAACTAGGAATAGAAGGAAATTACCACAACATAATAAAGGCCATATATGACAAGCCCACAGTTAACATCATACTTAATGGTGAAAGATTGAAAGCTTTTCCTCTATGATCAGGGACAAGACAAGAATGCCCATTCTCACCACTTCCATTCAGCATGGAATTCCTAGCCAGAGCAATTAGGAAAGGAAAAGAAATAAAAGGCATTCAAATAGGAAAAGAAGTGAAATTATCTCTATTCATAGTTAACATGATCTTAAATGCAGAAAACCCTAAAGATTTCACACACAAAACAACCCATTAGAACTAATAAATTCACCGAAGTTGCAGGATACAAAATCAACACAAAAAAACAAGTTGCATTTCCATACACTAACAACGAACAATCCAAAATGGAAATTAAGAAAACAATCCCATTTACAATAGTATCAAAAAGAATAAAATACTTAGGAATAAATCTAACCAAGAAGGTGAAAGACTTGTATGCTGAAAACTACAAAACTTTGCTGAAAGAAATTAGAGAAGACATCCTGCATTCGTGGATTAGAACACTTAATACTGAGATGGCAATATTACCCAAAATGATCTACACAGATCAATGCAATCCCTATCAAAATCCCAATGGCATTTTTTAGAGAAATAGAAAAATCTATCCTAAAATTCATATGGAATCTGCAGGAACCCTCAACAGTCAAAACAAATTTGGAAAAGAAGAACAAAACTGGATGTCTCATACTTCTGATTTCAAAACATATTACAAAGCTATCATAATCAAAACAGCATGGTACTGGCATAAAGACAGACGTACAGAGCAACAGAACAGAAGAGAACCCAGAAACAAATCCCTGCATATTGGACAAACGATCTTCAACAAGGAGCCAACACCACTCACTGGGGAAAGGCCAGTCTCTCCAGCAAAAGGGACTGGGAAAAACAGACATCTACATGCAAAAGAAGGAAACTGGACCCCTACCTTACACCATATTCAAAAATTAACTCAAAAAGGATTAAAGATCTAAAAATAAGACCCAAAACTATGTGACTCCTAGAAGAAAACATAGGAGAAACACTTCATGACATTGAATTAGGTGATGATTTCTTCGATATGACACCAAAAACACAGGGAACAAACAGAAAACCATAAAAATGGGATTATCAAATTTTAAAACTGCTGTGTTCATAGGACACATCACAGAGTGAAAAGACAACCTGTGGAATGGGAGAAAATATTTGTAAATCATATATCTGATAAAGAGTTAATATCTAAAATATATAAAGAAATCCTACAACCCAAGAACAAAAAAATCTGATTAAAAAGTGGGCAAAGGACTTGAATAGACAATTTCTTCAAAGATGATATACACATGTCAAATAAGTATATGAAAAGATGCTCAAAACCACTAATCATTAGAGAAATGCAAATCAAAACCACAATGAGATACAGCCATGCCTCATTTTCATTGTATTTCACTATATTGTGCTCCACAGATACTCTGTTTTTTACAAATTGAAGGTTTGTGGCAAGCATTATCAATGTCATTTTTCCAACAGCATTTGCTTACTTCGTGTCTCTGTGTCGCATTTTGGTAATTCTCTCCATATTTAAAACTTTTTCATTATTATATTTGTTATGATGATCTGTGATCAGTGATCTTTGATGTTACCATTGTTAACAAGGATCAAAGATCTGAAGGATCAGATGATGGGTAGCATTTTTTACCAACAAAGTATTTCTAATTAAGTTACGTACCTTGTTTTTTAGACATAATGCTCTTGCACTCTTAATAGACTACAGTGTAAACTATAGATACATGCACTGGGAAACCAAAAAATGCTTGTGACTCGCTTCATTTCTGTCATCTAGAACCGAACCAACAATATCTCCAAGGTATGCTTGTATCACCTCACGCCCATTAAGATAGCTTTTATCAAAAAAAACAGAAGATAACAAGTGTTGACAAAGACGCGGAGAAACTGGATCCCATGTGCACTGTTGGTAGGAATGTAAAATGGTGCAATCGCTATGGAAAACAGTATGGCAGCTCCTCAAAAAATTAAAATAGAATTAATTATCATATCATCCAGCAACCCCACTTTTGGGTTTATATCCAAAAGAAGTGAAAGTACGGTCTCGAATAAATATTTGTACATTCACATTCATAGCAGCATTATTCATAACAGCCAAGAGGTAGAAGCAACCCAAGTGTCCATCAACAGATGAACAGATAAACCAAATGTGGTATATACACAAAATGGCAATTATTTAGGTTTGAAAAGAAAATTCTGACATGCTACAACATGGATGAACCTTGAAGACACTATGCCGAGTGAACTAAGCTAGTCACAAAACGACATATATTGTATGATCCTACTTATATGAGGTATCCAAAATAGAGAAATTCATAGAAACAGAAAGTAGAATGGTGATTATCAGTTCCTGGGGGTGGGGGAAGCAGGGAGTGCTGTTACATAATGAGTACCAAGTTTTGGTTTTGCCAGATGAAAAAGTTCTGAAGATCTGTTGCACACTACTGTAAATATACTTAACGCTACTGAACTGCAAACTTAAAAAATGGTTAAGACAGCAAATTCTATGTTTTTCACCACAATTAAAAATTTTAAAAAGAAATGATAAATTGTGAAACAAACAAAACATACCCGCCACACACCAAGAACTCATTTGAAGCACGTCTGCCAACAGTTCCCACTGGCATATCATCTAAAGGAGAAAGAGAAAAATACAGTCAGTTCTGCTATACCACCTGCTTAAAAAACAAATTCTTCCAATATGATTACTAGAAAACAATTTGAGCACAACACAAATTTACCATTTGCTTATGATGCAATGTTGTACATGAGCAACAATAGGTGAACACAGAACATTTCACCTAGCTGAATTCACAGGCTGCAACCCTTTCACCATGCCCGCTTCTATAAGCAAATGTCAGGTTTTTTCAAGGTGGCATATTTAAGTGGCATATTTATTGCAGTGTTCATGTATTTCTCTACCATTTAACATGTGCAAAAACTTTGCTACTGTCTTTATCATGCTCCTTTTAATATATCAGTGACAAAGGTTTTGAGTGTTGTGCCCCTAATCCCAATTTGCCCATAAACTCTGTGGTTTTTATTGAACAATTTTGCAGAGTGTGGTGATTTTTAGGAACACATGTCACATTCCAGCACAACTGACTATAAACAAAGTCTAGTTCACTCTAAGGTTGGAAAACCCCCATGCTCCTGCATAACACTCTCTTATGTGTTGAATGGGCCATTGAACAAGATGTCATGGAAGCTGGGGCCTCTCAGACACAGCAGCACATGCCACAGGCCATCTTCATCTACTCCTACATCATCTGTATATGGGAATAGAGCACAGCTCAGGAATGCAGGGGTCCCTCATTCCTTGTCACTGTTATATCCACTATCACATTGCTCTGTGTGATTTTAAATGGCTATAAAGGTATAATTAAGACGTGTTGATGTGAAATAGCAGTGCTGACTAAATAATATAAATTTAAAACAAGAAACTATGCTGTTAACCTATACTCAAAAAGGGAAAAAACAATCAGAAATATCCCTCTGACTGGCTCTAAACAGGAATAAGGAACGCATTTACACTCATGCATTGCTTAACAACAGGATGTGTCCTGAGAAATACGTCGTTAGGTGATTTCATCATTGTGCCCACACCATAGAGTGTACTTACACTAACCTAGATGGTATGGCCTACTACACACCTAGGCTATATGGTACTAATCTTACGGGACCACCATCATAGTTGCTGATTGTCACTGACTGAAATGCCCTTATGAGGCTCATGACTATATTTTGGTATATCTCAGGTCCCTGCTCTCAGGAAGCTTACATTCTAGTAGTGAATAAAGTAATAATGTCAGGGAGTGATAAGAGGTATAAAGGAAAATAAATCAGGGTAAGAAGATAAAGAGAAGTGGGGCAAGGAAGGAGTCTTTAAAATAGACTCCTTAGAAGGACAGAAGCTAGGTTTCACTAAGTATACTTCATTTTGTAGCTTTGAGTTTGGAACCATAAATAATGATGAAACAAAACTAAATCAAAAGAAAAGAACAATCTCTAGAAACCAAAAGTAGAATGAATCAAAGGAACCTAATCACACATCCACTTGGTAGCATAATCGCCAGAGAATTCTTTCAAGTGACTTTAAAACTCAGTAATTTGATTGGACATCCCTAATGGAATTTAACTAAGGACAAAAAGATCCACAAAAAAATTTTTAATGGTTTTTAGTAATTATATTGTTATTTTGATACCATATTGTTATTTTGACACTATAGGGAAAGAAGGAAGGAGAGAAAAGAGAAGAGCCTAAACTCACAAGAACAGAAAATTCAACAGCCACAAAAATTTGGAAGCTAGAAAGTTGATACAAGTGGTATTTGACCTAGTAGAAGGAAAGCCCAGAAGTATACCAATTTACATCACAGATTCCCAAAAGGCTGAGTAATTACCAGTACCACATAACTATCAAAATGGCATTAAGGGCAGGACTGAAAGGATTCTTTTAAAGTCAATGTGGAAGCTGTCAGAATTTTATATCCTTTCCCCAGCTCTATGCAGACAGGCATCACCCATCCCTCCCACTACAGGAGAAGACTGGATGTTTATACTTGGGAAAGAATAAAACAGAAGGTCTCTGGACTACAGAATACCAGGCGGAGATGAAGGCGGTGGTATATGGTGAGAACAGCTCGGAGGAAGGGGGCTTAGTAAGCAAAATTTTACACACTGACTACTGAGGTTCCCAGCCTTCTTCTTCTATTTGGCTCCCTCACATGGTATCAGGTATGTACTCTTTAGGCAGAAGACTGGTTAAGTCTACTCCAGGGGATCTGAGCAGCCCTTTAAAAAGGAAGCAATCCAAGGCAATGACTCAGCCACATCACCCAGTGTGGAGGCTCACTGTCCATAAGACCCACCACACACAAAGCTTTCCAACAATGTTTTAATTTTCCACTCTTAATTATGAGCACACAACAATCACCAAACACTCAAGGAAAGACTCTAATATGAAAAACAGACTCCAAAACAAACTGGGGAACAAAAAAAGAACTAAACAAATATTTTTCAGGGGAACGTTAAAAAGTATGTAATTAATGTCCTCAGATATAAAACAAAATATTGCACCCTGAAGTAAGAACAATACTCAGATGGGGAAAAAAATAGCTTCTGAAAATTAAAAATATGAGAGCATAAATGAAAAACTCAATAGAAGAGTTAGAAGAAAACAAAGGAAATTTCCCCTAAAAGAGCAATAAGACAAAAAGATGGAAAATCAGACAGAAAGATAAGAAAATCAGAGAAGCATACTCAAGTAGTTGTTATATTATTACTTTTAAATTGTACAGATATTCTAAACATCTTAAATGGAGAGCTTGGAAGTCAATGTTTCATTCTAATAACAAGTAAAAAGCTGAACAGACTGAAAAATCAACAATTCTTCTTGGATCCAAAAGAGTGGGGAAGACACAGGGCAAACCAATGCCCCCAAGCCTGGAGAGACAGGCAAATACAGGGAGCTGTGGCTTACCCGAGAAGAGACTCACCAGCAGAAACCACCACAGAAACCAGGGTAGAAAAATCTGAACTGCAATTGACAACTTGTCGGAGGCTCATTGCAGTCAACTCTGAGAGTTAAAAACTCCAGGAGGACCCAGTCATGGGGGGCTCACAATATCGCCAGACCTACCTCCAGGAGCTCAATCTGATTCCCACAGTAAATAGAAGAGAAAAAATCTCTTCCTTCTTCTGGCAGGGGGATGGGAAAAGGAGCCATTTTTAAATATGTCAGAGCATTCTGTTCTTAACAAGGCCTGTCCTCAGGAGAAACTAGTTAATCCGAGCTTAATCTCCTGGGGTTAAACTCAGAGCCTAACTGACCTGGGGGAAGGGAAATACCCAACTCCAGCCCCCTCTGGCCATCCTGTCTGACCTAAGGCAGGAGGAAGAAACTCGGAAACACTTGTGAAATTCACAGACCAGAAGCATATGCTCCCTAAAAGACTGAGACCTAATCCTGGGACACAAGAATGCTCCTCAGCCCTTGCCCCTCAACTACCACACTACTAAAGGCCTGTTTACAGCAGTTTGTTTTACCCAGTACATGATGTACCGCTATCAAGAAAAAATTACAAGGCATTCCAAAGGCAAAAAACCCCTTTAAAGAGACAGAGCAAGCATCAGAACCAGACATGGCAAGGATGGCAAGGATGTTAGAATGATCAGACTGGGAATTTACAACGATGATTAATATAGTAAGGGCTCGAATGGAAAAAGTAGACAGGATGCAACATCAGATAAGCAATATAAGCAGAGAGACGGAAATACTAAGAATCAAAAAGAAAGGCTAGAGATAAAAAATCACTGTAACAAGAAATGAAGAAGCCTTTGATAGGCTTATTAGTAGACTGCACACAGCTGAGGAAAGAACAACTGAGCGAGAAAAGATATCAACTGAATCCACAGAAACTGAAAAACAAAGAGAACAAAGACTTTAAAAAACAGAACAGAATATCCAAGATCTGTGAGACAACTACAAAAGGTGTAACATGTGTAATAGGAATAATAGAAGGAGAAGAAAGAGAGAAAGGGACAGAAGGAATTATCTGAAATAATAATAACTGAGGATATCCCCAAATTAACGTGAGACACCAATTCACAGATCCAGGAAGCTCAGAGAACACCAAGCAGGATAAATGCCCAAAACAACTATAACTAGGCATATCATTCTCAAACTACAGAAAATCAAAAAATAAAAATTCCTGAAAGAGGTCAGAAGAAAAGAAGACCATACCTACAGATGAACAAAAATAAGAATTACATCACCTTCTCAGAAACCATGCAGGGAAGAAGAAAGTGGAGTGAAACACTTAAAGTGTTGAGAGAAATAAACCACCAACTTAGAATTCTGCACCCTGAAAAACTATCCTTCAAAAGTGAAGGAAAAATAAAGACTTTCTCAGACAAATAAAAACGGAAGGGATTTGTTCTCACTAGATCTGCCTTACAAAAAATTTTAAAATAAGTTCTTTAGAGAGAAGGAAAATAATATAGGTCAGAAAATTGGATCTACAGAAAGAAAGGAAGAGCATCAAGGAAGGACAGAGTTAAGGTAAAATAAAAACTTTTCTTTTTCTTATTCTTAAATGAGTAACAGTCTGTTCAAAATAATAATAGCAACAATGTATTTGGTCATGTACACTTATGTATATATCTTGTGTGTGTGTGTGTGTGTATATATATGCTTAAATATAAGTGAAATGAAAGACAGGAATGATACAAGGACAGGAGGAAGGAATTAGGATTATTTTGTTACTATAAGGTACTCACATTACCCAGGAAGTGGTATAGTGTTACTTGAAAGAGGACTTGTATTAGTTATAAATGTATATTGCACACTCTAGGGCAACCACTAAAAAAAAGCAAAAAAGAAGTCTAATTGATATGCTAAGAAAGGAAAGAAAATGGAATCATATTAAATGCTCAGTTAAAACCACAAAAGGCAGAAAAAGAGTGGAAGACAAAAAGAGGAACAAAGAACAAAGACAATGAACAGAAAACAGTACAAATATGGTAGATCTTTACATCTATAATCACTTTTAATGCCAATGGTCTAAATGCACTAATTAAAAGACAGACATTTCAGAGTGGATTAAAACACATAACCTAACTATATGTTCT